AATGCTCAGGCAAGGCCAAAGCCATCGGCGTATCTAGCTTCCTTCGTCCTCATCTCGAAGCCATTCTCAAAGTAGCCACGATCAAGCCGCTCGTCAATCAGATCGAGTTCCACCCTTATCTGCAATGAGCCAACAACTACGTCCCGTGGCTGCAGGAGCAAGGGATCGCAGTCCAGAGCTTTTTCGGCCTGGTGCCGATAACGCATGCCAAAGGCAGTGGGCCTCTGGATGGGCCGCTGGCCGCTATTGCAAAAAGGCATGGAGTCGAGCCGAGCACTGTCTTGTTCAGGTGGCAGCTAGATCAAAACATTATTTCGATCTCGACCTCGAAGAATCCCAAGCAACTGCCACAGTACTTTGCAGCCTTGGACTTGGAATTGACAGAGGAGGAGATGGAGGAGTTACAAAGATTGGGCAGACATATCATTTCCGGCTTCGGTTGGCGCAATTCTTTGATCAGATGATCGCAGCTAATCAGTGTTTGGATTGGAGTTTGTGGGTAATATATCGCCTTTGTAGTGAACAGAATATATTTTCTTTCTATCCTATATCCTTTGCGTCTGCTGATCTATTATACTTATTGCATCCAGGGTGGTTCAATTCCATGAATCTTCATAACATTTGAAATAGTCTCAGCAGAATACCTATAATAAGGGTTTATAGATAACGTCACAGTCTGGATGATCACTATATCCAATTATCTTGACAGCCTAGGCGATTCAAGTGAGGATATTCATGAAGTGATAGTATTCATAGAGGGTTGAGAAAGAATGTTGGCATTATTTATTATTGCATGGAGAATACCTATACCAATTTTTCAGGTGATGTTCTCCACAAGGAATCACCTAATATAGCGAATCTCTCTCTACTATAATTAAAATCCATTTCATATTGTACACTTATGTTCTCTATAATCAGCAACACCGTCGAAAAAAAAAAGAGATAGAGATCTGTATAGGTATAAAGAGGAAAAACGTACAACAGCTGGGATTCGCTGGTGGTCACCCACCCAACTACTAACCAGCCGGCGTGTGGCTTAAGTATGGCTGAGCGGACGGGAAGCCCTGTTTTCCACACCCTATGGTCGTACGTGCTAGAAGCTCCATAACAAATGACTTATAGTGGTTAGTTAGGCTATTCAGCTGTAATGGCGGCAGACCTCGGCAATCCTAGTCGAATCGGTCGTGCCCAGTCAGTCTTTGCAGGGATAATTGATCCACTGTTGAGATTTGACGGGAATGTAGGACTGAAGGGTTGGAAAAAAAGATAATTTCCAAGGTGATGTAATTATTAGAGTTGGTAAATTTGGAACATGGTTGATAATGGCCGTCAAAATATAAAATGGCTATTAGCTATTAGGTCTTCCTCCCCCTATCTAGCAGTTTTTAGTATTCTGACCAACAACACTGTGCCATTTCAATTGTGATCATGAGAATACGCTGACAGGCAACGTATCCATTCTGATCGCATAGGGACAGTTGCAAACTTAATATCTCAGTATGGTAATGTAGGCAGGCAGCAAGATGAATTACTTGTATTATAATCACTGTGCAATTGGTGCAACCCTCCTTGACGAGAAATTCGGAATAGCTACCACCTTACTACCTACCTACCTACATAGCTGTGTGCCTAAGTGAGTAATCCTTGCAAGAATAGCCTGCTTATCTGTGATATGAATAACGGGGGTCAAAAAAAGTGAGCTTCTTTCAGTGATATTGATATTGATATTGATCTTGACTTTGATAATAGCATTAGTAAAATAAATTCATAATCTGCAAGCTTGTATACTTACTTGCTTACCTACCTACGTATTCGGTAGATAGTAGTAGATGGAATTAAACTTCTTATTTTTCTTTCACCATTCTTTTTTTGCCTGGTTAAGTAATTGCCTCTCATTATTCTTCTATGTTCGTCTGTTTGTGTGTGTATTCCTTTTTATGTTGTTAAAGGCAGAGCAATAGATTCGATACTGGCTGAGTTCTAGGTATGTACATACACCCGTAATTAATGAAGGGCGCTTTCCATTTTTTTTTGGCTTTTTTTGGTATGGTTTCAGATAGAATAAAAAAAGAAAAGAATGAGCAAAAGAGAAAGAATGAAGGGGATAACAGGGATAGAAAAGAGAAAAGAGAGGAATGTGATTAGCTTGGGGTCTGTCAGGGAGTCCCACTCGCATTTAAGATCAGGATTCAGGAATAATAGGAGCACTCCAAAAAGTCGTTGTATTTGTGGCAAGGCTGTGGTAACCAAACTGTCAGACTGGATGGATAACCTCGAGTTTCTGAATCGACATTGTAACTTGGATTTTCTGTTCTCCCTTCTGGATCAGGAAAGTCTTCTGGAACAGCTTTCCATCCACTTCCAATTCCCCCAGATATCCTGGGGCAAACTTTACTGGGGAGTCGAAGATGCCTCCCTGACTCAGGTTCTCCTGTTGGATTTCCTCCTCTGACATGGACGCCAACCTCCAAACCTGACCTGCGTGACGGTTGGCATCGTTCACCGAAAGGAAGCTCTTCGGGTGCACGTCGCTCCTGATCAGAGTGCCGGTTTTGAGATCCTTCTGCTGGACAAGCACGATGAACACACCCTGCAGGTGCTTCTTTGCTGTCTTTCCGGGTGACTTATCTGACACTGCTCTTGTCACCCATTCTTTCTCGACAGAGACCTCAACCGAACCACACTGTGCAGACTCAATGACTTTTCCATACACCCCGTCAGCGTTGGACAATGGCACAATGTGGAAGAATTTATCCCACACGCCACTCATTTGGAGCTGGTCGATTCTCTGGGACATTTTTTCCATAGCCTTCTGCCGGTCGGTAAAGATCCCAAGGACTTTTGCGGAAGTTGCTCTGAGGCGTGTAGGGACGGCTGTCAAGCTGCACAACAGCGTATTGCCAGTATCTTTCGTATTCCACCCCTCCTTCTTCTTCCTTTCCTTCTGAGGTTTCTTCGCTTTCGGTGTCTTCCATGTCCGCGTCATAGCAGTCGGCGTCAGAGTCATCGTCATCCGAGTTCTCTGACATAGGCTCCTCTGGGCTAGAATCCTCGACGCTGGACTCTGATTCGTGCATATCGAAGCTCGCTGGTGGAAAGGAATATGGCATTATAGGGAGAGGTGCTTTACCGCCGTATTGGGGTCTTTTGCGTTTTAAGGGTTCTCGTGTGGGTTTGGGCAGTCTGCTGCTTTTTGTAGGCGTAATCTCGTTCAAAAGGCCTTGGGGGATGGTCTTTCCCCCAGTGGTGGGGTGACGCAGTGAATGGCAAGAAGGTGATTGTAGGGGCGTATTAACTCGACTTCTTTCACCAGCAGACTCCGTCGACTTTGGCCTACTGCGTGAATTCTCTGACCTTGCCTTCGCAGCAAACGCCTTAGCGTCATCGGCTACGCGTCGTCGATCAATTGACCTGTGGATTCCCCTGATCCAATCCAACTTGCCACTGCTGAGAAGGTCCCCTCCTTCGAGCTTCTCACGGTATGAACGAAGCTGAAGAGATTTTGCTCTGAACTTGTCATTGCCTGGGTTTTCCTCCAGGTACAACTGAAGGTCCGTCTCTGCCTTGCGTAAACGTTCGAATTGGTCTGCTTTCTTCTTTGCTGCTTGGTCTCGGTATATATAGCTGACTGGGGGTTGTAAGCGCCTATATGATGGCACTGGTGCTGCCGAACTTATAGTTGGCACCCAACGTGGCTGGGTTGCAGGTTCTGACTCGATGCCTGCCCGATGATTAAGGGCTGGAGGTTCTCGTGGAGATCTGGTCTCTGGGCGTTGCGAGAAAATTGTCTGAGGCCCGCCCAAGATTCTGATTTGCGCCTCAGATTGTCTCATCAGCGAACGAGGCTCTTGCCTCTGTTGGTTCGTATCCGAGCGACGAACTGGTCGTTGGAAGGAGCCACCATCTGCTTCTGAGACGTTGACAATATTAGATTCGTCACTTTGCCCATGAGCAGACTTCAAAACAGACATACCTGGAGATTCGTCATCTGAACTGACTAGATCGATGAACATATTGAATGTCTCTGGAGGAGGTCTGAAATAGAGTGGCCTTGATCTTTGGAACATGGTGTTTGCTGCTTTTAGAAAGCTCAGTATGTCCAATTGACATGAAGATCTAATTCCTAAGATAAATCAAGAACAAGGGCGGTCAGATCTTCAAAGGTTGTCTTTGAAAGTAAGGCAGTATTGAAGGATGAACTTTGCCAACACAAAACTAATCAGTTCCAATCCTGTAAGGTTTAATGGGAGCATCCAAAACATTGGAAGGCACGAGAATGCTTTGGTGTGGGAGATCTTAAAAAGTCCCAGTCACCAATATAAATCAAGATGGGCAAGACTTCACAAGTGTCCGCACGATCAACCCTCATGGGTATTTTTGAAGTATGTGATGATTTGATAAAGCAAAAGTTCTTGGAGCCTAGTAAATGATCTGTTGATATTAAGCGTGATAAAAAAGAGTATCATAGTCCAGTGCAGGCGCAATTGGATTCATGCAATTAGACTATATCAACTGAGATCTGTTTTGCAGCTAGAGAGCTAGCGACAAACATTGTGCATCTTGATGTATGATATGCATTCAGAGCAACGATGGCTAGACGAAGCTAGATTTTGTGGACATAAACCTATAAATGTGTTCATTTGATAATAATATACAGCTGGATCTCTGAGACACTCTGATTCTGTGACCTATAGTTCACTTTTGCCAGCCTATCTGACTTTTCAAAGAAGTTTTACTGAAATTAGAATGAGCAGAAATACCATATCCCTTGCTACTAGAAATCACGAGAGATGTCTCTAGCGATTAGGGTTGGGATCAAGATTAGACCAACCTACTGTTCGTACTGTTTATCTGAGAATACATTCTAAGAACTTCAACCAGCATGCACGGTGACCCAGACAGATATCTAGACATCGGCGAATGTGGTTTCTTAGTCTCATTTCGCGTAACCATGTAGAAGACATTATCAACCTGCCATATAATGGTCTAAATTACTAGGGCGATGACGGTAGCTGCTAAGATCAGTGAATTTCTGAGTAGCTGAAGGACGGTACGGTGCCCTCTGGTGTTCGTGGAAACTTGCGGAGTATAAAGCGCCCTTACATTCAGTTTGATGGCAACAGACCAGTAACATACATTAATTGGCAGACTGAGGAAACCTGGAATTTGCAATTTTGAGCCTATCTGGCTCTGTCATGACAGCTAGCACCTATTTTTCCCCCTTAGGAAATGTTATGTAACCACGATGACGCACAGGCATCTGCAAACAGAAATGGTTGACGTAAATGTGTATATTTATAGGGATAGATCCTGGAGGTCCGTGGGCGATCGAGTGTGGAGTCTTTTTAGACTCGGTTAGCGGGGAGCGGAAGAATGATGGAAGGGCTGTTGCAGTGGAACAAGAAGTCACGAAGATGGGTCAGTCGACCATTCATTTGAGACAAGTCACGCCGTCATCGCCACTGCTTACGGCGTCAGCCTTTCTGCAGATCCAACAACACTTTCAAAGTACCTCGACCCCTGGTACCGCTCTCTTGTCAACCAAGAACCATATGCTGTTCCGTGGATTTTACGTGCTCCGAACCAGGAAAGATTGGTTGTTCTAGAAGCTTTGGGCGCAGTGACTTTTGATCGTCCCACAACCCCTCCAGGTGCAGCCATCTCTTTATGGCTGGCGCACAGCGTTCTGGACTCGGTCTGGTGGACCTCGAGAAGGAGCTGGTTTGCTCAGTATGTGAATTCAACGAATCTATTTTTTTTTATCATTCTCTGGTCTAGTGTATTCATATGGAGATCTCGAGCACATCATGGCCAGCTATGACGCCTAATCGTCTTATAATAGTTTAAACCGCTGACCACGTTGCGTCTAGATATGCACGGAGCTTCTTTACCAACCTCTCACTCTCCTCGACTGCCTTCACACTTTCTGCGGCTCCTGTCTGAAAGAATGGTTTTCCTGGCAAGCTGAGCGACCCCGCACGTCCAGAAGTTCTCCGCGATACACTTGCCCATCATGCAGAGCTGCAGTTCGCGAAACTCGGCCAAATGCTACGGTCACCACCTTGTTGGATATGGTTTTGAAGGCGGACCCGGGACGTGCTAGGTCAGCAGAAGAGAAGGCGGAAATCGCAAAGAAATACAAGCCCGGCGATCCGGTACTGCCAGCAGAAGACTCAGCAGAAAGTTCTGCTGAATCCGACGAAGAGGACCGGCAACTGCTTGAGGAAGTTAGAGAGCTTAGTCTGAGGGACGTGGGTGGTGACCATGGAAGCAGGCCGTCGAGCTCTCGGGCTCGAGAAGCCTTGCGAGACCATCGGGCGAGAAGTGCAGACTCTAGAGAAAGGTCGGAGGATGAACGGGTCCACCGTCGACATGAAGATGAGCGCAGAGCACGGCGCCAGGCGCAGCACCACGCCGCACGCAGGGCTGCCCATTCCAGCAGTACTGTAGCAGAGTCTAGCGCCACGAGACGGGTTGAGCATCAGGCTAGCCTACGGTCTTTGTTGAGCTCATCCGATGTGGAAGCCACTACGCAGGAAGAGATCGTACGCCAGATCATAGATGAAGGGTTGCTGGACGGAATTGACCTGGATAACCTCACCCAAGCTCAAGAGGAGGAGCTGAGCGATCGCCTAGTACAGATCTATCTCAGCAGACATCCGGATCGGGCAAATCTACGCCGGCGAGGCAGTGAGCACTCCGAGCGGCCTCGCCATGGGGAACATCGGCGTTCGAGATCACAAACCGTACAAGCGCGGAGCGCTGCAACGGCATCGACTGGACAATCGCGGCATCCACCTGCGTCGCGCCCACATCTCCTGGAGGCAGATCCCGATGCTGTTGCTCGAGGGCACCGAAGAAGAGCCTCAGATCAAGGAAATCAACGTCGGAGGACGTCACCTATCCCAGCTTCTCAAGCATCTTCATCAGAGGCTACCTTGAGACCGGCTGTGAGATCTTCCAGTGATATGACGAATCAACGTCCTCGACCTTCACCCTCAGGAAGACCAAGGACGGGAGAGTCCTCATCTGCTTCGATATCAAGACATGCTGTCGGGCCTGAAGGACGAGTTTCAGAGACTTGGATTGCAGGAGGCAGGGATCGAAATGCGCAGCAGTCGTTGGCTGCCAGGCAGATAGTGTCGTCTCCGCGATCGAGCAGCCCAACGCTTGCTTCTCCTACAGAACAATCATTTTCGGCGTCAGATCACGGAGCACACAGTTCGTCCGCTGTGCCAGATGTCTCCAGCCATCGAAGCGCGGCGTCAAGGCCGATTTCGTCACGGTCCAACCAACCTCGGGTACCTTCTGTGCGCTATCCCGAACCATCGATAGCCTGCGATCGATGCGGACGATCGAACATCCAATACGATCTCCACAAGCACTGCTCGCGATGTAAAGAGGGCAGGTATTATCTCTGCCTTCGTTGCTATCGCCTGGGTCGAGGTTGCTTGCATTGGTTTGGGTTTGGCCTCGCTGGACAAGCCAATTTCGAGAAACAGCTCCCTACATCTCATCGATCAGCAACTACATTGGAACCACCGCACACTTTACGCTCCCAGAGATATCGACGACCGGAGGAGGGCAGACTTCGCAGCACAAGTGACGGAAGGCAGGTGTCTAGCAACGACCCGGCCAACAGACTCGAAGAAGGCATGTTTTGTGACATTTGCCTGTCTCTGGCCAACGACTGTTTCTGGCAATGTAGCCAGTGTAATGACGGAGAATGGGGTTATTGTCAACGTTGCGTCAACAAGGGGCGTTGCTGCAACCACCCACTTCTTCCGATTCGTCGTGCGGCCGCAGACAGCGACAGTACAACACCTTCAGTGGATGCAGCACCCACAATATCGACCTCTCTTTCTGCTTCACTAGGGTCTGCGGATCTGGCATCCTACCATGTACTCTCTTTTTCTACCAAATGCGATATATGCGCCCATCCCATTCCTCCATTGTCGACTCGGTTTCACTGCCTGGAGTGTAACGAGGGGGATTATGATATCTGCACAAATTGCTATCTGAAACTCGTTGCGTCTGGCAAGATCAGCAAGGAAAATGGCCACAACGGATGGCGTAGATGTCTGAAGGGTCATCGGATGATCGTCGTTGGCTTCGAGGACCACGAAGACGGCCAGAGACGGGTCATCGTCAGGGACCTGGTTGGCGGCCGTACTTTCAAGGACGATTATCCGCGAACGCACGGCAGCGGCACAAACTCGTCTTCATCCGGTGCTCTACCAGCCGTCCCGTCTCCCGAGCTGGGATCCGGCGACTGGAGCTGGAAAGAGGGGCAACAAATTCGGAGAAAGAAGGCGTCCCGCAGCCGAACAGCCTGGGCGACTGCTAGTAGTGCTACTACTAATACTAATACGAACGCAGAAGTCGGTTCTCCGACATCTCCTACTACAGCAACAACGCGGAGGTTATTCCCACCAGACGGCGGCGTGGGTCTCGTCCTCTGCGCGCTCTGGTCCTACTACCCGGAGGAGGACGTCACGGACGAGCTGGCCTTCCCCCGCGGCGCGGAAATCACCGAGGCGGAAAACATCAACGACGAGTGGTACTGGGGGTACTATGCCGGATCTACGGGCTTGTTCCCTGGTGCATATTGCACAGTTATCCGGGATGTTTCCTAAGGCAGGCAGACATTGCTCGCTGTCTCTTCTGGAGATAGAGACAGAGAGGAAGGAAGCAGCTAGCAGCTAGCCTAGACTTATCATTCTAACGACGAATGAAAATTACGACAATAATGGCAATGGCAATGACATTGATTGATTGATATGAGATGATATGACATGACATGACATGAAATGAAATGGAATGAAATACATGTACAGTACTGTACATGACACAGCACAGAAACTATGTGAACAGCATCCCATCCCATCAAAGAAAAGAAAGAAAGGGAAGTCCTGTCCTGTCCTGTATGCATGTATGTTGATATGTATGTGTAGCATATTGTGTGTTTTTTTATTTCTTTCCTATTGCCATTTCAACAAATTCCCTAACTGAAGTACTGAGTCATTGACCATATCCCAAATTCTGGTAATCTTTTAATTAATTAATTTAATTTAATTTATTATTTAAATTATTTTTATCGTTTCCATGCAAGCGTTTAATCTTGCCGTTATAAATACCTAACCTAAAGCACTTTCCCTCAACCAACTCAACTGACTGACCAATATGTATTATACATACATACATTCATGTATTCTGTCCATAAGAGACCCCAGAGAGTACATACCTAATGGAAATGCTTAAGAGACCAGAGTACCCAAAATCTAGAACAAGGTAAGACTTAAAAAACAAGGACACAAAATTGGCGCAGTTAATCAGCGAATCAGTGGTTTCATGCTCTTTAGGAGTAGAACTACTCCAGCAATGCAAGCATCAGTCTTTGATAGTCTCCGCTGGCCTCGCCGCGCACTCGCTCTCGCAGATCTCGATTGTACCGGTGGTGGTAGGCGCGCTTGACCTGCTCCAGATGTGGCCGGTTCCAGTGCAGCCGGACAATGCGCACGACGAGCTTGTAGTCCTTGGTGCCGGCTCCCTTCATGCACTCTTCGAGGAGGACGGCGTCGCGCATGGCCGGGTCCAGCGCCGTCCGGAGCATGTGTAGCAGCGCGTCTTTCATGTGTCCGGAGAATTCGCGCTCGATGTGCTTCTCGAGCGAGGTGTTGTATCGGGTGCTAAAGGCGTGGTTGATGGCTCGGAGCTCGTTATCGGAGCTCTGCGCGAAAATCGCGCACACCTCTCCAGCATTGTTGATGATCCGTCCTTGGGTAGCATCATAAATGCTCTTTGCCTCGCTCTCAATGTACTGCGGGTTGATCGGGGTCGACTCTTCGTGGCGAGTGGCTGAGATGACTTTGCTAAAGAGACCCTCCGTCTTTGCTGAAAGATCATCCTCGACGTCCCGCTGAAGGGATCTCTGGAATTTTTGCTGGTACGCGTTCTTGATCGCGTTCAGATCGGCATTGGACCGGCCGAGGAGGACATCGTTCAGTAGCCACTCCTTGGTGCCTATCCCCTTGACTGCATCTCTGACTAGCTCTGCATCATGCATCAATGGCCCCTCGATGATCGCCAGCAGCCCTTGTTGGAAATAGTCGCTCGTTTCAGATTTGACATCTTTGTACAGATCGCGCCCGATATGTCTTGAGTACGTCTCGCGGACGGCGGCTACTTGCAGCGGGTCCAGGCGTGAGAGAACTCGAATGAGCGCTGCTTCGTCTGTCCCGAATCCTTTCATCGCCTTGCGCAGCGCCTCTGCGTCAGCACGGAAGTCGCCCGGAGCGACCTGTCCGGGAACATATCCCAGAGATGGCATGGCTGGGGGTCCTTGAGCGGGAGGATGCGGTGCTCCATATTGATGTTGAGGTATATATTGACCTGGTGGAGGACCCTGCGGCGGCCCGTACGGTCCGGGTGGAGGAGGGTGTTGTCCGTAACCCTGCTGATGAGGATATGATTGTTGAGGGGGCTGGTGAGGGTAACCTGGAGGGGGTGGGCCGCCGTATGGAGCCGGAGGAGCAGGAGGATAACCGTAAGGACCCTGTTGCTGCGGAGGATAGTATCCTCCCTGCGGGCCTGGCAGTGGTGGATGTTGTGGATAGGGAGAATGACCTTGGGGAGGATATCCGTGTGGCGGATGAGGTGAATCTATAGCTCTTTAGTTTGAATAGCTGAGATTGGAAGACAATACTCACTGCTAGGAGGAGGATATTGCTGGTTATAAGCCATGGTCTCGTTTTTCCCTACAGAAGAGATCAAACAGAAACGGTGGTGAATCGAAGAAGGGCGGCAATTGATAAAGATTCAGTCTTCTTAAAACAACGAGCGAGCCCATGGCTCTTTTGTATGCCCGTAGGCGTAGTATGGGAACCATTCCATTGGTTACCCCGCCACGCGTCCGATCCAAGGGACGACTGGGCGGAGCAGGCATCGCGGGAGGCAGCTACCGATTCGCTGGGAAGGCGCGATGAGGGTCGTGGTGGCTGAGCAGCGGGACAAACACGAGGGAACCGCAAGGCTGACTTGCACCGCCATGATGATTGCGGCGGTTCAGACTAGGCATCCACACTGGAGAATATACCAGCTTTGGAAAGCTGTAAATATATACGTCCAATCGGTCCGACCCTCATGTCAACGGTAATCAAAACATGTCATCAAATGGGCTATTTAGTAAAACTAGATACAATGGGAAGCCAACCATATTCATTCCGTCACTGACTTCATCATCGCACCAGAAAGAAAAATCAATCACCGTCCACGGTTTGGCACCATCCAAGCCGGGTATATCTGCGAAAACAGCACAACAAATCATACCAAGGCCATCAAGGAACACGCTGTCGGAGCTTATGCTTTCTTTTTGCCTTGCGTGGTGCTCTCTGCGGCAACGAATGCCTTCTTCAGCTCCTTGGCAGCCTCCCACAGCACCCATAACGGGACGTACACCCACAGCGTGTTGAAGAAGACCAGATAAAGCCACAAGTACACGGGGTGACCCGTCTCGAGCTGCGTGCTGCCCGTCAGCCATTCGGGCGCAAAAGTCATCCATCCGCCATACAATTCCGCCGTCGCAAGAGCGGGCGCAACCAGCCACAGCTTGGACTTGGCGGCACCGCGAGCCTGCGCGCTTGCCTTGGAATTCGACGCCTGGTACAGGAGATAGCAGATATAAACCGCCGTCGGCCCACCCAAAAAGACGGTCAGCAGCTCGAGGGAAATGACGGTGGCATCGGCAACAGCCCAGCGGTGATCGGCCTTTGCGTATTCCTGCCAGAGGCGCGCACTGGGCCCGGTGCCGTACGCGGCTCCGTAGAGCCGGTCTTTGTAGCCCAGAAAGTAAGGCTCCCGGAGGACGCCGCTGGGGACGGTGGTGTAGCTAAAGAAACATTGGTAGAGGTAGGAGCCTTCGATGAACAGGTGGGTGAGAGCATCGTACGCGTGCCAGAAGAACAGCACGCGGTTGCGCTTCTGGTTGGCGGGTATCAGGAAGACGGCGAGCCCAAAGGCGATGGGCATAAAAGACAAGGCAAAGCCAATGGACAGGACGGTAGGTGCGTCCAGTGTAAAGGGTGCGATTTCCGCCATCCTTGCGGCGGTCAGCTCAACGCGATGGCGGGTGTGTTTTGAGACGTTACGGGTATCGCGATTCGATTTGGTGTTGCCAAGGCAATAGAACAATCCACAGGGGTGGTAGTCTTCGTTAAGATACCTCTTGTGAGAATTTGGAAATGATGTCAATTGGAGGGGAACAACAGGCGGCTGTTGTGATGAATGCAGCCTTGCTTGATCATCAGGAGTCAGGAGTTGATCTCCTACGGGGTAGCCGTGATCGCGGTGGCTCCAGTTAGCGCGTTCCATCATGTCGCGCATGGAGAATCGTGAGTGGCCAATAGAATATGGAGTACTGTTTCGACCAATGAGACTGTTCCTATTTGATGCCAAGGCGCGGATCGATAACTTTCCATTGTTCCAGCTTAGTCATCTATGCACGGCCTTGCAATTATGCTCAAGCACCCGTGGATAGGAAGACCGCTATAAGATTGAGTTTATTGAGAAGGGCCTACATATGGCCAAATCCGATATTATTGCTATTAGATGTAGCAGACATGATGATAAAATCAACCTTCGATAGAGTATATCCTTTCTCTGAAGTACAGCTGGGCGTTTCAGGCAAAAAGAAAAAAACGTCCTAAGTCTCAACACAAAGCCCAACTTGTGCCTGTCTAGTCTGAAAATTCAGGTCGAGTCGATGATGACGACGAGGACACCGAGCCAAATTTGAAACAAATCCATACTAAAAAAAACAAGCACCTCTTATGATTCTCATGCAAGCAGTCCAGTTGGAAATATATCAAGGATCGGGAGTCCGATTATGATCTACTTACATCTCGCAGTTGACATGACGATGCCCGCCGCGTAATTTGTCACACAGACAGACTGACAGATAGACTATATTTACAAATAATCAAAACTCCAGGCGCAAGTTCCTGCAAGATCTAGCATATCAATTAGGTAGGGTTTTCGTTGTATGTCCATATAGGGGCCTTTCGAACAGGCTCCCGGGTGCCGGGCCTCTTACTGTGAAAAAAGGGATTGGATAAGAAATGTATCGAGTGCTGCAATCTTTCGCACACATTCTTGCCTTATCTTCCGAGATGCAGCAGGATCGCGACGTGTCCGTGTCTCCTCAGATTATGACAAAGTCGGGTTTGCTTCACCAGATCTTACAAGGATGCAGTGGACAGGTTTTGACTGCTGCCTGCTGGAATGTGTAAACAAGCGGCCCACACTGTCCGTTGCTTCTACATAGATATGCTGCATTGTATGCCGTATGATAGTAAACTGGGATAACCATAAATCTCAGGTATTAAGGGAAATCAAATTTAAAATTATTAAAAATATGTCCTAGCAAGTTGCTGCTGATAATTGATTGATCCTCTTATCAGAAGAACATCGAGGGGTAGATTATGTACAGTATGACAGTACAGCACATGGTATCTCATTCGCATCAAATGTAATTAGTCGTATCTCATGTCGTCGTAAAGATCATGCATGGGATATTAAATCCCATGATAGGATGGAGAAACTTTTGGTGTATGTGTCGATCACAAATCGCAGGGTAGAAATCGGTTGAAGGATATGCGCAACTCCCCCAGACAGAAATCAGTTAGCCGGCCAGTTAAGCGGCTACTTGCGAGACGAAGATGGGAGCACTGAGTTGTTGACTCGGGGTAGAGGATCCTAGAAGCGAATAGACTCGTTGACGCGGGGCGTGCGTTTGAAGTGACAGTCTCGGCGGTGTCGCAGAACGACCGCAGGCAGCTGTGTAGTCCCGCAATTCTTCAACCACCATGCGTATGCATGGCCTCTGGGGTGGAAGGAGTGGACAGCAGATGTAAGTCGACGCGAATGATCATCCATTTTTCACCCCTCCTTGCCGTCATGATGCAGGAGCCTGTCGATTCCCTCCCGGACAGTATTCCGGACACTAAAGCCGCCAAACAGCCAGTCATTGGAGTGCCGGCCATAGTGGTTCAGCGTCCCGCTGTATCGCTTGTAGTCACTGCTGCTTTTGCGAGACGAGCCCGAGAATCGTTTCCCGGCCGACGACCGCGATGCGCTGGCAGGTGAGCTTGAGTCGTGGCGAGACATTGCTGTAGGCGAAGCACACCGTGGAGGGGTTGCAATATGTGACGGCGGACTGGCAGAGCGTTCCAGAGGGTCGCTGAATGTGCGCGTGTTGGATGTGTTTGAGGATCCTGGGGCAGGCGACTTGGATCGCGAACGGAAGAATTTGTGTTTCAAGCTCGAGGCGGCGAGGGTGTGATCGTCGAGAGATCCCAAGGAGAAGAAGCGCGTATGGCGCGACGTGGCGGAGGATTTGGACGAAGCGATGGAGAGCGGCGCCTCTGAGGAGTTGGACTCTGCACGGTTGATCCTTGCTTGGACGGGCTGGTCTGACATGTCCAATCGCAGTCGACCAGCAAATGTCTGATTCAGATAGTTGTAGCTATAGCAGCAAGAATGGAGTCTGAGAGAGAAGGCAGTCGTGAAGGTGGACGACGAAGCCGATGTCAACTTGAGATGCTGGTCGATGCCAGGGTCGCATCGCTGGAGGGGTGTCAGGTTAATTTATCTCTCGCATAGGCGGCACCTCCATCGGCCAGAATAGTGACGGAAACCTGTCTCGACATGATTGCCCTTTGCCTAACTTGGCACTGTCCCTACTGACGTATCACTGGCCAGGATAGTCGCGACGTGGGTATGGCGACTGGCCAGCGTCAAGTGCGTCTGGACAGTGACGCATAAACAGCGAAATGGCCAGGACGGGTGGGGAACAGCCAGTCCGGGCAACCGCGGGGCCTGTCTGGGGAACTGACGCTGCTGAGTCGGTGAGAAATGCCCACCCGAGGCATGTCGGGTTAACAAGAAGCAGCCATGGGGGGCCCTACTCCGTACTCGGTACAAGGTGCTGACAAGGCCCGACGACTGCCAGAATTCACCGCTTGCCGGGATGATCGGCCCTGCAGCGCCAAGAACCGATCACTGTCGGACTACGCCCAGGCAGCAGGAATACTCATTTTTCGAATAGAACGTCTTGGATATTATGGGACCATTGCTGCTTCCAAATACGGTACTGGTAACTGTTCTCTGATCGATTGCCAGCAATTGCCCTGTATACGGAGTACGCTGTGGGTCATTCCAATGTCTCACTATTATTCTCTTCAGAACAGTTCGATGTTTCGATGTATCGCCGCTCTCCCTCGACCGCCGGTGAAGCTGCAAACCAGCAGATAATAAAATGCCAACAATCCGATGAGTAATTCGTAGAGCACTCCGCAATGTGTCATTGATGAGTTGTTTCAAGGGAGACCACGACGTATCCCTCAGCTGAAAACTACCTAAACTGTAATCAACGTCGCAGGGCAACTGTGACTGGTCCTTCGCCCCGTGAAGCCATATGATTCGACGCCCAGGCCGAGCTTCTTTCGAGCGTGATTCTAGAAGCTGCCTAGTGTGACTCGATAGGGTCGGCGCGCTCCTCCAATCACGAGCGCCCGTTTGCAGCCCTATCGCACCGTCACAGGGTGCGGGTTCCTGTGCCGTCTGTTCCGTACAAGCACTCCGTGTGGATCGTACCTATTTTAAAGAACTTAGAGCAGCGAAGATGACCTCATAAGCATGGACTCTAATGCTTAGTCGCTGAGTCATGGATCCATTTTCTTCGATTTTGTACTTTGTGCAGCGTACAATACAAGTGTTGGCATATCCGTGCGCCGTACGGATTCATTTCCGATGAATCATCGCCAAGACGCAACGACGGGGATGCGTCATCGTGTGGGTGCTTGAGGCTCTGCGAGCGGGATCGTGGAGGATCCTGTGACCTCACACCTGCCCAGCACATGATTTTGCCACATTTGCAGTCCTTATCGTCGCCGCCAAGGAGCACCTGTTACGCGTTTCATCTGGTTGATTCGATCTGAGTGTCTTGTCCCAAGTCTATATTATGCTTGTGAAGAATTCAATGCTATGGAATATTGAGGCTGGTACGGGATACATGTAATTAAACATTATTGTCCACTATTATTACTGCTGAACTATGAGTTCTATCCAAATGTGATGCCATAGCCAAACTCCAATCCCATGCACTCCCTGCGATTCCAATCACACCTCGTTTTCCCCTTTCCCCATTTTGGTATGAACCTCCAATGCAAAGAACGGAGCAATAAGCAAACATATGCCCACACCCATTAAAAAAATGAAAAGAGATAAGAAGAACAGAAAAATAACGCCGTGTATGCCGGGGAAAAAGCCAATACAAATAATAAAACAAATAGAGAAGAAGACAGAAATTGAAATTGAAAGAAAAAAAAAGAAGAAGAAAGGTAATCCAAAAAAATCCCCTAGTTCCCAAGTTCTGACGATACGTCTCCCCTATTCCTCCGCCAGGGTCCAAAGACCTGGACTCGGCTCCTTCCATACTCGGGGCTGCTCGGAATGACATCGTCGATGGCGTCTTTCCGCCAGAGGCCTCAGGTGTCCTTCGTCGAGCTCTGCATCTCTGCCACACCGCTCTGACATCGTCTCTGCTTCTTTTTCTGATAGATTCGGTGAGCTAAAACACGAAGGGACGATATTATTGCCGTGGACAGACGATGTCCTCGCCTTGTTATGCAGGGGAAGGAGCTGCCGGACTTTTTCCAGCCGCGGCCAGACGATCCGTCGCAACACTGCTTTGGGCAGCTCATCCGCTTCCGTGACGGACGAAATAATCACATCTTTCTCATTATATCCTCTCCGCTTGCGGGCCTCGGAGACTGGCCATAGCCGGGAATGTCGCGTGCGCTTGGAAGGAGCCGAAGGGATGATGCCTGCAGAGACGGCGTCGTCTTCTTCGTAAACATCTTCCGGATAAAAAGGTCCCTCCACCGCACTTTCAAAGGCAAGAGAGCGGTTTCTCGCCCGCGATGCCAATTGAGAAGCTCTTCTGTCGATAGAGGTGTTCCGGTCGAGAGCCTTCGTACTTGGACCGCTGAACGGCCATGAGTAGTGTCGACGGCGTGGAACGAGCGGCATGATGAACCAAAGAGGGAAAGAAACGTCCTCTAATTTAACTCTGATACCAACAGAAGAGAAACGCCTAAGAGATGCAAATTATAAAAATTAAGAGCAAGAAAAAGAAAGAAAAGGAAGTTTCACTCCCTGTTTTCCCCCACAAGATGGACGAAGCCGGAGCATCACCGACATCCATCGGTCCCTGCCAAGCGAGGAGTCCCAGTAACGAGCGTGGGAGTGGACGGATCTAGCATTCAGGGCCCCAGAAGGCGGGTCGAGACTTCTTATTATATGCAGCCCTGTCCTCCATTATCGATCGACTGGGACCGGCCACGTGCTGGGAACACGCGTGAGTGGGAGCGGGGTATTTGCCCTGCACTGCCCGGGTGACCACCTCGTTCAAGGTCACGTTCAGGAATGTAAGACCCATCGATATACCATATCGGGTTCTCCAGGGTAAAAACGTAAATTAGTGACAGGGGGGTGAGAATGGAATTCCCAGAACATATCGGTTGTTAGAACATTCCGTACGTCCGATCTATGCGGATAAGACGCAGCCACAGGGTGGCAAGGGAAAGGTATGCAAAAGGGCGCCTTATATGTCTTCTAGTAATTTCTTTGATAGCATCGTCTTGAATCAAGAAAGGGCATGTGAGTGTGACGCCGATCATAAGACACACCAAACCGGAGCGCTGATGTGAGGCGGCTGTGTTAAAAGAGGAAATAAGGCCGGCTTGGTCGAGTCAGCCCTTGCAGGTTAAACTCAACTTAAAGCTCAGCCGGTAAGACAATATTTCTTCAGGCTTCTAGTGCGTAAAACATTAGAAGGCATTTGTGATCAATCAGCCAGGCAGTTGCCATCTTACTCATTTTCGACCTCGGATGACGAAAGACGAACGATTAGCAGTACGCAGCCTGAGGACGCCGGTTTTATCGATTCTGTGGCGCTCATCGCAGAAACATGACCACAGAATTTTGAAAACTGGCCAGTCTTCCGTTAAAAAAATACCTTTGAATTTGCAAGGAAAATGATCCCATTACTATTAGACGAAAGCACACCTCCCCAGATCATAGGGAGACATTTCCAGAAATAAGAAAACTAGCCAATCAGATTCGCATCTGCAGTCGCGTGGTCTAATGGTTATGATATCTCGTTCACACCCAAGTGAGCCTGATCCGAGATGGTTCCCGGTTCGATCCCGGGCGCGACTATTTTTTGGTTGAAAACTTATTTTAAAATGCTCATAGTTTTTTTTTTCTCAGGGTCGTCACATCTTCAATTCATGTAGATGCTTCCAAGCTTATCTAAACGTGTTAGAACATGCTGCACTATATTGCCTTTCGGAATTCGGGGACTACAGTAGGTTGGGTACAGGACATGTGTATACGTTCTCTAGACTAGATATATGCAATACCATTCTGTTAGCGAAAGATATTAATAAATATATGAATCTGACACTTTTAGTCAAATTCACGGTTGCACATGTAACCTCAATAGAAGCACTGGTAATGTGGTATGCGTTCTCAAAAACCGGGGTATACTCATACACACAGGGCTCAACACTCAGTTCCGAGCATCATATCGTTCTCTCAAGGCTCGCCATCTCCGAATATCCTCCGGACGAATTCCTGGCTGGCTATAATCCAACAACCTTTGGAACAGGGCAATGTCCTCGTTGCCTAGAATCATGTCAGCAATAATCTGGAGATCTATTTCGTCGTGTCTATGCATATGAAAAGGCTCTTCTGTCTCTGTAGAATCTTACTTGGCACCTGATTCTCCGGGGCTGTCTCATTAACGTCAATAACCACATCCTCCGTAATCTGTTGCGCCTCGGTGACGCCATTCTCCAGATCCGAAATGTTAAGAACCACACAGAATCGATACCGTCCAGCTTGGCTGATTCTCAAATCACTGAACGCAACACGTCCCCTCAGTGTATCACCATCTTCGCTGTAGATGCTGTCGACGCGTTGCCCGGACAGGATTCCCCCGGCAGCATCACTCCCATCCTCGTTTTTCAGCAATACATTGAGGCTGAGTCCCAGATTTGGGTTAGGCTCCTGAGGTCCTGTCGGCTCGACCTTGACGACTACTGGCATCGTAAATTTCGCCCCGGGCCGGACCTGACCCGGCGGCTGTTTTTCGAATACAATCGTGAACTGTCCTTGGCTGGACCCGGGGGTAGCCGGTCTCGGTGGTTGTGAGACCATGTCGGAGTCCTCGGATGTACTGAAGTATGCAGTCGACAGTACAGCCTGTAGCAGGATTCGCCAGTTCGTCACGATAAAGCCCTGTATCGTCTTCAAGTCAGTGTATAGTCCACATTCGACAAACTGATGATGTAGCGAGTTCTATGACTGACCTCTTCCAGTTTCTTATTGGAGATTTTTTTTCTTCAGTATCTGTTGTAGGCAAGTAATTTTGATAAGCCAGAACCAGATATGAGAGAGGTAGCCTCTTTCAACAAGAAAGCATGCGAAGTCGCCTGTATTTATAAAATGATTCAAACTACTCCGAGCCAAAAGATTGAATCAATTATGCTATGCCCTTTAATCACTCAACAGTGGCAAGATTGGATAAGAGTAGATATTGGCGGCATGTTCCGTCCAAGGAGGGTGACATCGACCATGTAATCAGAAACACAGGCTCAACCGACTATCAGCAGGTTACAAAATCTCGGCAGCGAGGTAGGTGTAGTATGGTAGTTTAGAAGTAGCCGGAGACGTGGTGATGCACAAGTACCCAACCGGCTTTGCTCCATGTCGTCTATTTTGCCTCCGCTAGGTACAGAGCAGAGGCATGTAGGCACATTACAAAGGGGTGCCAAGTTCACGTTTTCTGTACAGAGACACTGCGTCCACCATGTTTCGGCAAGCTGTCTCCATCGGCAAAAACGATAAAAAAAATCAGAGAGTCTTGTGATAGGAAGATCATCAATCCAGCCTACCAAAAAGGAATGATGTCGAAGAGAGCCAAAATTGGATCCTTCAGATCTTGATCTGGATATCCGATTGCTTGATGTCGATCGTCCCATAGATCTGAGCTAGATTGGGTTTGGGCCAATCGCAGTCGCGGAAATCTGGCATGGCACAGGCCGGCCCCAAACAATGCAGGAACCGAACGAACCCCAACGTGCGGTGTGGCTGGGTTGGCGGGTCCCCGTGCCACAGCTGATGGCAAAGTCGACTTTACCGCCAGTTCGGTACTGTTGATATGCTCCCCCTTGCGTTCCGGAAAGACCTGGCTTTAAGTTCTAAAATCTCACAATGGCACATTACGGCAGAATTGAAGTGCTTGGGTATGTGATATATGTACTGTACATTACGTGATCGTGGCCATTAGTGCTCGATCCAAATATGCAGTACTATCTGGGTCCTAGTTATGTGGCCCACATGATTCTCAAGACAGGCTGTTCTCAATCTATAGGCCAGCCTGCGAATCGGAGCAATTCCGAACACTTCCTTTGTTGTATATATGTGCCGACAGTCAACGGTCTTGCACGGCGCGATTCACAGCCCCAGAGGGATGTCTAATCAGGAATCCTCCATCCCCCTTTCGCAACAGCTCCTTGACCCAGTCAATGCCATCGTCCCACCAGCCATGCCGTTCGGGTTGGATCCGAGTGATGCTGTCGCGGTCCAGACTCCCCGCAGTGATGTCGACGATTGGGAGAACTCCATGAGGTGGAGGGCGGTCGAAGAAGAATGTCAGGTTGGTCCCGCAACGTGCGCAGAAGGTTCGAGTGACGTCTGGGGAAGAATTGAAATGTGCCAGATAGGTGTCACCTCGTGCCACAGGAGCACCGTCACCGCGGACTCCTCCCTTCAGCCGAGGTTGAGAACTGACCGCCGCAAGGGTTGATAGGTGGATGCGGTCTCCTTCTCCTCCACCGGCGGTTTTACCCGGACTTGAATTCTCCCCGTCATCGTCTTTGTGCCCGAGCCCTACCTCACTCGATTCTTCTGATCCTGATCCTGATCCGGTGCGAGGGGTCAGACTCCATTCGACCCAGTCCGCCGGGCAGATCAGCCAGCACTGGATGATCGCCCCACTGATCCGGCGACACGAGTCACAGTGATCCAGATCGACAAGCGGAAACCGTGTAGGCACCGTATTGCCACCGTCGTCGCTGGGCCCGATGGGTGTAGGAAGCGCTTCGGGGACGAGAGGGCGGTCTTCTAGTGCAGGTATCTTGACAACGTGGCGGCTCGCCTTGCAGGAACAACCCCCAGTGAGGGTCACTGGCTCTTGAGGGAGGAACGCCACGGCTATAGGCTAGTCACGTCTCAGAATGTTGGCACAAGATGAAAGAAAGTTCTCTTCTCTGTGAAAAATATATGAGTCTTTAGGAGATGAGCACAGTCCTGGATTGAGACTGCTCCCACATCTATATTCTGGCCAGGCAGCAGTCGGTGTCGTACAACGGAGGACGAGGAGGGGTTTCGCTAGCAAGGTCGAGACGGGGTCTTGGCCTTGAGGTCGCCATATTACCCCACATGTTCACTCAACAAGATGGCCCATCTCATGTCCTTATTCTGAGATGACACATTTCGGAGTCCGTCTGCACGAACAGTTGAAATAGGACGAGCCTTGAAGACGTGATAGCTTCCCCTCTAATTCCACAAATGTATGGATTAATACGATATTTTCCTCTTCCATCGCGATTGATCTGAATGTCGAGAAACCAATCTTCATTATTTACGCATATGCGTAATTATTTCCCTGGGAAGCCACGTACATACGCCTTCGCGTGGCCAAAATTGGCTGAATTCATATTTTGTGACTAACCATGTTTCTTGCTTGATTACTTGGAAGTTCACCCTGCGATGGTTCGTTGATTCTTGTTGTCTCACCAGATGGTTACCTCCCGCGGTAGCGCCTTCCAAAAAGAAGCCATGTTCCTTCCCTTTATACTGTACCATCGTCGAGACTTGCCCACACTAGCCAAAACTAAGATGCAATGCCATCTCAGAGCTATTCTTCTCTATCGCTCGGACATCATCATTATGACAGCTAGTTGATTGGCGTTATATCAACACTTTACGCGTCTCGCGTATGGCGCCGCTCTCTCGCCGACAAGGGAACCCTCCTTTTCCTCCTCCACGACCTCCCAAAGGACCGCCGGGCATTCCTATCGAGGTTACAAAATTGATAAGCCTCAAGGTCTTCCTTCTCTTATTATTAGGAACAGCTGGTATCTTTTGTTTTGCAATCCTCATCTGGAAGACTGGGTCCTTCCTTCGTCGCTTTACGCGAGGCCGGATTTTCCGTGAAGACAAGCTCAGCACCACCCGCTATGTCAAGACCTGGTACGGCTGGATACCGCAGGAGGAACATGAAGCAAGAAAGGAAAGGTTGAGGGCACGCTTGAAGAATCTGCGCCAGTGGACGTCATGGAAATCCTCGCACGATGACTACCGCTGGGTTTGGTGGGACCCATCTCTCGAGTACACTCAGAAGCATGTCAACGACCGAAGATTACTTCGATGGCTTCCACGGTGTCTGAGAAGCTATGAACATCGGACGGCGAACTCGATCTGGAATCCAGGTCCTCCGACTGACCGCGCAGAGATGGAGAGTTGTATAAAACAGAAAAACGATCCTCTTTCTGATGGGAATCAAGAGGATCCCGACACTCTACCACCGGCAGCATGCAAACGAGAAGCAGATCCTTCGGTCACAGGTGGTCTCATTTACGATGGAATATGCGACACTCCTTCGAAATATCTCACTTTTCCATTGCAGCACCCACGGTTGAAAAGAGCACCCCGAGCTGCCTTAGGCCACAGTGAACCAGTCCAACGTCCATGTTTTCCAGCTCCTTTAATAACGTGTCTCGGTTCTGGACGAATGCGTGGAAGGAAATATCAAAGAATTAACGACCTCGAAAGCCGTGACCCGCCTTTGAAAACTGAGTTAGGGTGTGCCTTGAGCAATGACGCTCGAATTATCAGGAAATATAGAGCATGGGCTGCGCGCATGCAGATGGAAGGGTTTAAGAAGACAGCGCCCCGACAAATTGGGTTTATGGGTCGGCCTGGCAGCCCGCTTTCTGAATTCCTCAGCAGTGTATCAGAGCAAGGCGGTTTTCCAGAGCAAATGCGTGGGAGCACAGCCATGTTGGGTTCAACCGAGGAATCGCCTACCCCAAATCATGTTTTCGCTCGCCCGATAAGCAATGACATTCTTCCTCTGGTGTCACCGCCTCAAGCTATCACAGCAACTTCTGCTCCTTCGGTGCCTCGAGAAGCGATGTCATCAGGCCCCTGTGATGGCCCCGAACGGGCTAGACCACAGCAGCAGCAGCAGAGGTCATTCAAGATTTCCAAGCAAAAAAGAGCAGCCAGGCGAGCACTACCTTTATGGCGCAGGCTGACTGACTCGGAGGTTCGGCTACTTTATAGTTTGGATAGGAAGCTGGAATGGCTGCTGAGCGAGTGCGATCCAGGTCGAAAACCATTTCACTTCGCCATCCTTCCAAACCATTGGCTGAATCCACACACGTGGATTGTTTATGACCCGCCTTCCCGCGTCACAATTGATGTCAGACGTCGATATGGTGATCCTCGATATAATGTACCGTTCCCAGATCCGTATGCTGAACCAAGAAGGGGGAAATATGCTGTGACTTCCCACAAAAGAGCTTATACGCCGCGTATCGACTCTTGGAGGATTGCCGTCAACCGACAACGCAGATCCGCTGGTCTACGAGATTTCCTTAAGACGGTGGAGTTGTTCGACAGTTCGGCTGATGAGCCGCCGGACGGGGCTGTCGATCCAGCCTGTTGGATTCTACGTAAGCCACCGCAAGGGTTTGGCATGTCGACGCGTCAGAGGAACGCTTACTATGAAGGAGGTGCGGGTTGGCAGGAGAAATTAGATGACTGGCAAAAGGTTGGCCGACTGTACCGGATCCGGATGGGTATCCACGAAGGAAAAGTCAATCGAAGAAGAGCCAAAGAGATTGTATGCGGCATCGGGAGGGTGTACCAGGAATCCATCAAGAAGAGAGGTGGCAGCTTAGCCTCGAGTCCGGGAAGGCAGGCTCACAACGTTGAGAAGCAACGGAAACAGGCACGATCTGGAAATGGGGCGTTGCAATAGGCAAAACGAGATAAGCAAGGAATGGGAAGAGCGCCATCGGAGGTTGCGGAGATGGGAAAGGGGGCCCTGTATAGGAGTCTATTTGCTTTCCGAGGACAAAGCATCTCAAGAGGTTGGATATGTTTTAGATCAAGTTCTGATCATTATCCCGACGTGAGGTGTTATTTTTACAACAGGAACTATTGCACGCTCCTTTTCTTTTTTAGATAGTGCTTGGAACAGAATTGGGAATTGACGGAGAAGCAGATAGCGCAACACTCGTGAAACTCGATGCCTCTTTGTGAACATAATAAGAGTCTAGGTTTTCACACGTGCCAATGTAAGAACAAACGCCAAAAAATGTTCATAAAAGCAGCTGCCGAATAACTCCGTTTTGTTCTCCCAAACAAAATCCACTGCCCATCGAGCGTCTGACATCTCTGCCTTGGGCAATATGCCATCGACGAAATGAGATTCTGATGTACAATATGGTACAGCAAGAGGAAAAGATGTCTTCGAAAAAAAGACTTTTAGAAACCAGGTGGGTTCAACCGCTGGCTGACTCGGGTCCATTTCGGGAGCTCTATTCACAGAGGACATTGCGTCAGCTTTCAATGCAACTAACTAGACTCACATCGGGGCGAGCCGTTGGAGGGGCACTCACTATGGATTCCCTTGCGATAGTTCCGTTCCTTCCGGTCGTAGATGGTGTACTTGTCTCGGGGCAGCATCTCCTGCTCCCGGGGCATCTCCGCGTACCACCGCTCGATGGTCTTGATCTGTGGCATGCCATTGTTCCTGAGGGCCGCGCTCACTGTGTCAATGACCTGGTCGACGTGGCGGAGGCGCTTCCGTTGCCGTGCCTTCTGAGTGCGCGACAGACGCCAGGGGATTTTCCTGTTAAATGCATATGATTAGCTTCAGCAGATCAGAAGGGTAGGATGGAATTGGATGAGAGTCCCCAAGAAAAATGGAATTTTTCTGACGTGAACGGGAAGGAGAAATAGAATCGGTACGGGACCATACCAGAGGAGACCCCCGAGAAGGGGTGACGTAGGCTTGAACATGATGTCAGGACAAACTTGAAAAGGAAGCACAGAATTGGAGCTCTGCTGTTATGCACGTCCTTTCGCTGACAAGCTATCCCGGAGTCGAATCTGGCCGGAGTTGCGGAATAATCTCTTTGCCAGGGCGGAAAGGACACGTGATGGTCCGTGCGCAGGCCTCCGCGGTGTTTCTCGTGGAGGCACAGGTCGCAGCCTCTGGCAGTGAGTGGGCCGAGAAGCATTAAAGCTCAGCTCCAATAATGCAGTTCCTGACACTTTTCTGGATCCCCGGGCTGATCGCTCTGTTCCCGTCCGTCATTCCCTTTGACGGTTACGACCTGTCTCTTTGCTCCAATTGTGTTATGCTCCCTTTGCCTATGGACTTGCGCTGACGCGCCGCGGTTAACCGCAACCAAATGCCTCTCGGCGCGACAGCGGACCGGCCCTCTGCCTGGTGGAGGGCCGGCTCCTCGGCGACCATGTTCGAAGTCGGGGCCTTGTGCCGTGCTTTTCTGTTTGCTGCCTGTACCGTGGAGGTCAATGGCTTGGAGGGGTTTATAAAACTACTCGATTCCAGGCAAGATCCTTCCAAGAGGACACGGGGGTTGGTCACAGGTATCTTGTTTGTTGTTTCGTGTGGGATGTAGTATTTCGATCAATTCAAGTGCTAACGGTCTTGTTGTTTGTTGTAGTGGCAAACCACATTAGCGTGTACGTCTGTACCGTACGATAATGGATTGTGATAGCGCAACACAGCCTCGGGTTGCGCGATGACATCTACACCATAAGAGCAAAATGGCTGACCCGGGCTTCTTCTTCCTTCCTTGGGTATAACAGGCTGGATGATCCGCTCATGTGGGGAGTGCTGCCTCTCCGATACCACTTTAACCTTCCTTCGTACAATCATCGATGGGCGTTCGGGAGCCATGACATTTGCTTCAAGAATAGGTAGGACACGGGTCCTTTTGTCCGTCGTTTGCCACGACTCAGGATTGACGACCGTGCAGGTTGCTCTCCGCCTTCTTCACGCTGGGCCAGGTCCTTCCCACGCACCGCCTTGCATACTCTCCTCATGGCGGACTCTTCCAGCCCACCATGACTCAGGCAATACGATTGTTATCCAAAGGGCCGTTTCCTGCGGATCCTCATGCGGCAGCCGCTGAGCGGCAACGCTGGAGCTTACAGAACGTCTGCGTTGATCCGTTTTCGGATCTCCCTACTGCATATACCACTACCTGCGATGACTCCTTCCTGGCTCCCTCAGCGTACGCTTGCAACTCATACTCGTGGATACACATCTTTCCGGAGGGAAAGATCCACCAGTCGCCTCAGAAGATTATGCGCTATTTCAAATGGGGAGTCTCCAGGCTCATTCTCGAACCGGAAGAATGTCCTGACGTTGTGCCCATCTGGCTAGAAGGCACGGACGAGGTCATGCACGAAAGCCGTGGGTTCCCACGATTCCTCCCGCGACCTTTCAAAAAGATCAGTGTCACCTTTGGAGAAAAGGCAGACACGGAGGCCGTCTTTGGAGATCTGAGACGGCGCTGGCAGGAATTAAAGGCGAAGGCTGTAGCAGCCAATCCCTCCTTGGCCGACGCTCCGCCTGGGGTGTTGAGTGAGGATCTGATGTATGGGCAGGAAGCAGTTGAACTGCGAAAAGAATGCACGAGGAAAGTCCGAGATTTGGTCCTCGAGGTTAGGCGGTCCAGAGGACTGCCAGATGAAGACCCCAAGGCCAGTCTAGTGGATACCTGGATCCAAGAAGGGCCGAAGAAAGAAGGGCATATGAAAGACGAGTCCTGGGTGCGGGATTCCTAGATTCGTTTTTTATTGTAGACACACAGCCCTTGCCAGGTACACTACTGAGACAATGTGACTGGCCAGTAAACTTCATTTCCTGTGTATATTTGGGTATTATCGTAAATTTGATCTTAAAAAGCGTTATTTGTTGTGAAAGGCATCTATAGAATCCTCCGATACATTGGACATCTGGTGGCGGGGCTCTTGATAAGCTCGCCTTATCCGTCGTTGGCTTCCGCCTGGACACCTTCAAGTTGGCAACACACTGCGTCTCACCTATTTCCAACGCCCTCCCTCAGTTCTCTATGCCCAAAAAGCACAATAAATACCCGTCAGTCAAACCAGTCAATACTGTCCATCCGTCATTAATAAGCTCGTCTAGCGATCGTCATCGCCATGGTGGTTCAGGTTCGCGTTCGGGCTCATCGGCCTCTCAAGAACGCTCAGTCAACGACCTCATCCAACATCTCCGTCGCACTCAGGTGTCCAGATCTGCAAATGGAGAAGGATCCATGAGCTCTTCTAGTGTTTTCGTGCCAAAGACCGTCCATCCATCGATCAGAAATCTGCTTGAGCTTCCAGAGACACTCTCGCCACGGCCCCGCGCCAATGCTCGCTCTGCAATCGGGCGACGATTGCGAAGGACACCGGGCCCGCTTCCCCCATCGAGCTGGCTCGCAGGCAGTTCTTCCGATTCAGAGAGGAAAGCTGAACAAGAAGGAATTGCTGTAGACAGCGGGCGAGTGCTGTATCGTCTGGAGCGTCTCCCGGGTGTCACGTTCCCATCGAAGCGCAGCCTCCAACATACTGTCTTGATGTCCATGGCACGAAATTGGACTTGGCACCTGGACTATGATGGGACATTCCTGGCGGAACTTCCAAATCGTATGAAGATGCTTCTATTGAGTTATATTGCGGTGTACTCGAGAGATCTTCCCTTGAGGACGCGCATGCAGGGGCTTCATCCTCTTTTCACAAAGCTAACTGAGAGTGAGGATCTGGCTACAGAGCCAGAGATCACGCGACTGGATCTGAGTGGAGCGATAGGGCAGTGGATTAGTTTAAAGCAGTTGAATAATGAACTGGTTATCTCCCGTCAACACGAGGCGCCGAGAACACGCAAACTCGAGGAAGTCGTCCCGTCGTCCTGGGACGCCGAATCTGACTCTGAATCTTCTACTACACCGTCACTCCTATTAAAGTCTCCCACCCAGACCTTACGTTTCGAGAACCTGAGGTTCTTGTCCCTGGCGCATCCTGATCCGGCCAGCGCCAGTTGGAGTTCCCTCCTTAACCTTCTCTCCCACATTTCCACCCTCACGCACCTTTCTCTGGCCCATTGGCCCGTTCCAACGCTTGCCCCGAAATCGATCACCGCTCGAACACGCTTGTCCCTTGTTTCTGCTTCTGGGGTCCTGCGAAAGCTGTCGAGAGCGACCTACTGCTTGAAATGGCTGGACTTGGAAGGGTGCGGAGAATGGTTCGATGCCTTGTGTTGGGACGGGATCGGTGAAGACGGGGAAGTCTACAACTCTCCTGGGCCTGAATGGACGGGGTCGTGGAGAGATGTTGAGTGGGTTGGACTGGGGCCAGGTTGGCTGCCGGAGAAGTCTTCGTTTGATGACGAGAGCACAGGGTTTCCTGTCTCTTCCCTTGAGAACGGGAACGCCAGACCGCTCGCCGCATCTATCCATGCACCAGCCACTGGTGACAACCGAGCATCCTTCTCCGACCCGGCTCTCGCCCGGGATGTGGAAGCCGAACAGACCAAATACAGACAAGCCAAAGAGATGGAAGCATACGAGAACGTGGTACGGAAGGCCCGAGAGGTCGAGAAACACGTCCACTGCCTCCGCAAAGAAAGCGGCGGGAAATGGGTTCATTTCTCCTTTGGCGGAGACAGCGAGGAGGGGAGGACCCTCCTTGATCGCACGATGAAGCGTATTGATAGAGCGGTAGATACGTAGATATCTTGTATACATCGAAGTAGCGTTCGCTATTGCAGGCTGTCCTGTCCACTTCGGTACTATAAACTCACCATCAGTCCGACTGCGATTACGGTTCTGCTGGAATTTATATAGATAGATAGTCTTGCCCAAAGCAAATGATTCTGTTTCCATATCCCATCTACATTGGTATCAATTCCAAACATTACCTAGATACAGTACATAGACAATAAACGCGTCACTCCTTTAGTATATTTATTTATTTATTTACGGCGGAAAGTCTTCAACGGATCGACTTTCCCGCCAGCCGCCTTTCTTCCCCGACCGCGATTCCTCTCGCGCGCCTTGCGGATCCGGTTCTCGCTCGTCTTGCGAATTCCCACGAATCCGATGTCTTCCTTTGTGAGGCCCTTCTTGCCCTTGGCGGGCAGCAGGTACTCCGGGACGTGTTTGAGGTGCGGCTGGATGCGCGCGGCGCGCAGCTCGCCGTCGTGCCGCAGGTGTCGCAGCTCCTCCGGGTTCTCTTCGAAGTGGCGCCGCAGTTTCTCGCTCTTGACCAGCTCTTGCCGGATTTCTCGTGCACGAGCCTCTTGCACGGCGAGCCGGGTCACGGCGCGCAGGGCGTCCGTCATTCGGTAGCGGAAGGCGTCGACTTGCTTCATCTCGAAGTGGTAGGGTTTGATCTCGTGGCCGAGCTTGGCCTGCCGCTTGACGATCTTGGCCAGGACGGCCTCGTCATGTTTGCAGGTCGGATAGCTGGTCGGTTTGTGTTTGCCGAACTGGTCTGCCGGGACGACGAACGAGAGAGCCATACCGGTCTTCCCAGCTCGGCCAGTTCGGCCGATACGGTGAGTGTATGACTTGGCGGTCGTCGGAAGGTCGAAGTTGAGGACACAGGCAACGTTCTGGAAGTCGATACCCCGGGAGATACCGTAATCCTTCTGCTTTCCGGACAGCTTTTGTTTCTTTCTCGGAAGTTCTACTTGCTCCTCCTCTTCCTCGCTGGACTCGGATTCCTCAGCGTCCTCGCCCTCCTTCGACTCCGCATTTTCATCCGCATTGCCGTTTGCAGACTTTTTGGACTTTTTCGATGAACCATGCTCATTCCCGAGCACTTCCTGGTCGTCTGCAGCAATGATGATGTCGTAGACCCCCTTGTTGAATTCCTGTACAACGTGTATGCGTGAATTGGCCGGCAATTCCGAATTGAGCACACAACTCTTGATCCCGAACTGTTCCAAGAAGAGCTTGACGCGGTAGCATCGGTCGATGTCGCCAACAAAGATGATGCATTTGCCCTTTATGAGCTGTAACTTGAATATGACGTAGGTCAGGAGGAATTTCTCGTCTTCCGCACATCTGTCGCAAACGTCAGTAAACTGCTCTGATATACGGATAGCTCAGGAACCAATTACCTGACCACGAACTGACTGATACCGGAGCCTTTGTCTTCCTTCTCATTTAATTTGAGGATCACCGGACTTCGACAGAACAGTCCTTTCAGTGTGTCGACTTCTGCCGTCAGCGTCGCGCTCATGAGGAATGTCTGAACCCCCCGAGGAAGGGCCTTGGAGAGTGTATGCATGTCATCTTCGTATCCGTAAGAGAGCACCAGATCCGCCTCATCTATCACCAGCTGCGTGAGGTTGCTTAATGACAGGGCCGAGCTGTTGACGTTGGCGAGGACCCGAGCTGGCGTCGAGATGACAATGTCGGGAAAGTCCGCCAGCATCGCCCGTTGGACTGCATCAGACACCTTCTGAGTAAGATTTACGGAGCGCACATCTTTCCCGCAGAAAGAGGAGAACGAAACGACAACCTGTTGCACCTGCTCTGCGAGTTCTCTCGTCGGCACAAGGATGAGGGCAGTGGTAGCTTTCAAGGAATTGTCGGCCTAAGAATGCCAATCGGTCAGGCCCAGTCCGACTAAAGTTAGGAACGAATGTAGCTCCTTACAGCTTTCCTCTGGAGAATAGATTGCAGAATCGGGAGAACGTATGCTGCTGTTTTTCCAGAACCCGTTTTCGCACGAGCTGAGCATTTCGTTAGCAGCGATATAAAGGCAAAACTATTTTCTCCGAAACAGAAATAAGGTACCTAGAATATCCTTGCCCTCAAGGGCCAACGGAATGGCCTGGGCCTGGACGGGAGTCGGTTTCGAGAAATTCTCTTTCACCAATGCTTGGCGGAGCCGCGGGTCAAGATTCAGACTCTCGAAGCTGACTTCTTTCGTGTTTGCAGCGTCGGCGGCTTCCGTGGAAGGCACATCGTTTTCATCCAGCTTGCGCTTCATCGCGGCAGTCCCTTTGATTTGGGTGGGAACAGTAAGTCCCTCTCTTGATAGCTCGGATTTGGTGGTGTCCGCGATAAAGAGTTCAAAAGTTTTGGTGATAGCAAAATCATTCGGCCCGCCATATTCTCCGGCCTCACCGCCCTACAGCCTTCTTGCTCCACCGTACTATCCTTCATATTCGTGCTAGTCTACATCTCAGGGCTACATGCAGGTATTCTGGCTGCTAGTCTGTAATTCGCAGTCCTAGGTGCTTAAAGGCACTTAATCCTAAATAGAATATTTATTGTCTGCCTAAGAATACAATCATTTGAAGCGTTTGGAATAAGAAAGTTTGATGAGAATAGCTTGTCCTAACTAATGACAGGAAACTACTGCGAAAAGAAAGAAAAAAAAAAGGAAAGAAAGAAAGAAGTAAAATCACATTGGCTTTAAAATGGGCAAACATTCATCCTCTGGATGTGTGGTTCTGTCGATATATTCGTCCATCTCGTCAAGTTCTTCCATAAGGTGCGAACAACCGTCATGAAGAGAAGAAGAGATGGGGGAAAAATGAAAAGAAAAAGAAAAGAGAAGAAGAAGAAGATCGCAATTTGGACAAGGTCTTAAAACCATGACGTATTGATCAAGTTTGAGAATCACATTGAGTGCCCGGCGCGCGGATGGATATATAAACGTATATAGTCGGCAGAAAAAAATCGTCCTCGCCAGTGGACGTACGTATTGCGGAATTTGCGGTGAAGTCAAAACAGTGAAGTCAAACAGTTTGCCTAACCAAGCGGGGGGTCAACAACTGTCATGTCGTCGCTTCTCGCGGATATATTCACTTCGTTGATGGAAAGGGCAACGTTAATCGTGGCTGATCACATCACGGGAATATTCCTTGAGTTTTGGCAACGACTCCCTGGCAATTTTACCTATGGGCAACACTTTCTCATTATGTTCCACGGTATAAATCTTGTTAAAGTTGATGCGCGACATCTGATCTAGCTTCAGATCCGGTGAGCTGACCTTCACTGCTAACGGCTCTTTGGTCATTCGTGGCTCCTTGGGGTGGGTGTATGGCTTGGAGTCTGCGTTGTAGACGACTGCATGACTCGAGGGATCAACGCTCTTCTTTGCTACGCCGTTTCCACTATAAGTCCAGATAGCTCTGGGAGAATCGGTGTCAGCGATGAGGTGACCAAAGGCTTCTGGCCCACTTACATGCACAAGGAATGTCTACGGAAGTTCTTCACAACGACCATGGGACGGATGCTGCTATAGATCTTTTCCCCATATCTACCACTCGTGAAGGTGTCGGAGTCCCGATGATCAACCTGGGCGCCCGCATTCTGGTGATGAAGCACCGCGAAGACCTATAGTGTAAAGTCAGCTATACCCCAACTTACTACTCAGAACCGCTTCATACTTTGCCAAACTCGAAGTAACTTTCTTTTTTGACTTGAAATCCTTCTCTGCGTCAGACGTGAAAACTTGACAGTTCTGGGCTAACTCACCTGGGTCTAGAGACGTTTCCATTCCGGTTTCATGGACTTTCGCGAGATCATATCGACGATGCAATTGTCTCTCCGCCCGCGTAGGATCGTCAGAAGGAAGTGTCAGATGGTCAAGGTCACGGGCTAGGCTGTCTGCCTCCTCAGCGGTGTTGGGAGATGGCGGATTGGCGAATTGCGCACAGTTTCCATAATTATCCTGACGTACTTGGCGTCTCGCAATTGTGCCGTACGAAGCTCGGGGAAGAAGGCGCCTGTTTGCATGACCATATTCTAAGGGATCACCTCGGGGATATTGAGACTGTGGTGCATCGAGTGTATAGTGATGCTGAGGCGGACTCGCACCGGTAGGGCTATAGAATTGCGGGCTGTTGGCAGATTATCATGTCACTTTAGCTGTCGTTCGGGAATGAATTATGTCCACCTCAAGCTACGCTGGGACGTCAAGAAAGGATGTCACTTACTGATTCGCATGCGGGAATGACTGCTGGTCTGGTAGATACTGAGACGTATTGGCAGCGTACTGGCCCGTGGGATCTCCGAAAGTTTCCAAGCCATGATGATGATAATGAGGATGAGGATGCTGCCTGGAATGGTAGCTTAGATCTTGAGCATCTGGAATTCTTTGATAACTCCGTGGATCTCGAGCGTCTGGAGGTTTTCGATAACCCCATGGATCCCTTAATGGGGGGCTTGGCGCAGGCGAATCCTCTTGCACTGTTCGAGGTGCAGCTCTATAAGCGTAAAGTCAGCATCAACACAGCCCTCGTTCACTATAGTAGCCCTACTGCTGATCACTCTCTTCATACGGGTCGTTGTGCGTTGGGGGGTAAGTCCAGCCTATTTGTAGGTAAGAACTACGAACACATGCACTTGAATTTTTTTTGGTGGACGACGGGGTGTATACGAACCCTCCTGATTAGAATATGGATAACCAGCTGGCTGCGACTGTTGATCCATGTTCACCACCCAACAGTCACATTATTCAATGTCCAGATCCAAAGAGAATTGTAGAAGACAGATAGTCAGAGAGGTCTGGCAAACCCATACGCGGGATTCGATCGGCAATGAAGTATGCGCAGACCAGCATGGTAGCCACATGGTCAGACGATAACAAATGCAACAAATTTATCCTCACAATCATGGCCATGTAGGATGCGGCTCTTTCCTCATGGCGACCAGAGAGTTCCAACGACTGCTACTGACCAGCAGAGACCCAGATGGCTCCCAACCATGGTGTGCTGCATGCGGAGGGAGCGTAGCACTTGTTCGGGAGCACAGCAGTCAGAATTAAAACACCCCGGCAGACGGTGTGCGCAATGAGATCATACCATTTGGAAGGCAGCCGCTAACTGCTGGAATCTCGGACCGACTGCAGTTGTGCACTCCGTTGGGCTAGGTGTGCTGTCTATGGCATGCATTAGCTGCCACTAGGGCATGCAGCGACTGGGCTTGGGCAGGATTGGGGGTGGGATGCGTTTGCTTCGAGCTCTCGTGGAATGGCGTCTTCAGGCTGCACCACGACCAGAAGGAAGAAGACAGGAGAATGAAGGAGGAGGAAGGCTGGTCAGGATGGCAGCTGATCTGTCGCGTGGAACCACCCAGAAACCCACGCTTCAAATGATTGTATGCTTAGGGAGACCCGTGCAGGGGGCGGGCAGCCAGGTAGGAACCCGTCAGTTCCCTGTCCTACCTTCTTGCCCTTCTTGAGACACAGCCCGCGGCAATATTCGGCGATCTTCATAACAGCTCTCAGCCGCATCTCTCCGTCGGCAGATGGACGGGCGACAACGCGATTCTCATCTCGAAACCATGGAGGCTTTGCCAGCTCATCGCGAAAACAGCTCCAGCTTGGGGCAGGTATGCCCTGAACGATTTGCCTCTATGGAGCATGGGGCTGATCATTCTCCTGCGCTGGAGAAGGAGGCCTGCTTCCCAAATTCAACCATATCGGAAACCGAGTGCGCGACAAGGGTGGATGAGCACGATCTCACTGGGTTTTATGAGGAACTTGGCAAGAATTCATGCCTCTTCCCAGACACATCGTATAGTTCAGAAAATGATCCGAACGTAATATTTGCTCCGCAGATCGGGAATGCAGAGCCAGACAAAAAGGAATCATCGACGTCCAGAAACCTACAGGACCAACTCAATGACCTCCACGTTGCTGTCGGAAAAGTGATAGAGAAACAGAATGCGGTGACCGCAAAAAGGGCACAAGCCAGCGAACTACGTGTTGGCCTGCGACATAAGCGGGATGAAGAAGGGCATCTACGGGCAGAATTGTTGAAAAGTCTCAATCTCGCTATCACACTGGGGCAACCAGGGAATGCAGATTCAATGCTTAGTACAGCGGAACGATTTCAGACTTCCTCGGACGCCTATCTAGTTCTCGAAAATGAATATCACCAATTCGAAGATCAGCTGGAACAAGATAAATATGTCTTGGAAAAGATGGAGCAGAGACTTTCGTCATTGTTGGATAAATTTGGCTCCCTCACAGGGTCGAGGATAGGTGACCAGGGAGGGCTTCAAAGCTTTGGTGTCGATGACAATGATAACGATTCCTCCTCGACATCTAGCAGCGAGCACGATAAATACCCCCCGCTTCTTTTGAATATCTGTCTCGGGTTGGAGATGCTCGCATTCTTCGTGAACGCCTTGCGGACCTAGAATGCGAACAGGTGGATTTATCCGACATGAAGGAGTCATTTTCGCGACTAGGCCGTGCGCTCGATGAGGAGTCACAAGCATTCCTATCATCTTATGAGGATGTGAAATCGGAGCTGCAGAAGGAATTATATGACACCGAACAGGATGTTGCGCGCTTGAAAGCGGAGTGTGAAGCCGAGGGTTTGCTTCCTCGTCCCCCCCAAGAGAGCACGACCACGCGGTTCTATCAAACTCTGAAAGAGGAGCTGCCGAAGAAACATGGTTCACTTTGGTCCCCAGGGCTCGAGGATACAGGTCCATTCTTTGAGCAAGACATGTCGCAAAGATCGAACATGCCCGTATTTATCAATAAGTGGATTCTCCATCAACTCCGACATTCTTCCATAGAGATTTCTCGATTAAAGTCAATTTTACAGCTGGAATGGAACCTAGGCTGGGAAACATCCATCAGAAGTTGGGTGCTGAAGTTGTGGTTCAAGGATGATACGGCAGCGACCTCACCACCACAGACACCTTCAGTTACTGGGACATCTTGGATGAAAGATACCCGCCAACTACAATAAAAAGACAATAATGGTGTTTCAAACTTTGTACCCATGCCTTCAGCGGCCGAGGTTTAGGGAAAAGTCTTAACACGTGGGAGAGATCCTGTATTAGACTACATTCCACATGCATGGATCGCTATCGAGATTGAAGAACGGATTTGTTTTCCTCTATTGGCTAATTGCTATATCTTTTTGGCTCCCGATCTTACATCCGTCGATGCACATCACGGAAATGTCCCATCAGCTAGGGTTATCGGGCATCACCGCATGTTTCTGAATCCTCTTCCTAATAAGACAGGCGGTTCGGGTATCCATTACATTAGTCGAATGCATTTTAAAACACCATTATCTCCAATCGGTAATATCCTGGAAGGAGGACATCGTGTTTGAGTACGTGCCGTTGTACCAGATTCGTTGATTGGGATGCTAGTGGTTGCCTTACTGCAACAACTTCGTTAAGGAATCCAATACAGTATCAAGTTTTATTCATTAATGAGGCCAACACGACAATTGGAAGCAGCGGTAGAAAATTACATTAACCTTAATCCATCCAACAAAGCTAGCAGAGGATTGCTGACACCACGCTAGGTAGTCTGCAGGAATGCAACAACAAATGGGAGACGGCACAGATCAGAGGTCTCCGCGTAAGTCCGATCGGCGACCGGAAACGTGGGAATGCAGAAGGAGCACTTGGATGTGGATGAGGCTCTTCAGAGAACAGTTCCCTGCTCTGAGCAGAGGGATTGGATGAGAAGCCCCGGATACTGTGTTATCAGTTCCTACCGATTGGTGTGTTTCCTTCCTAACCTGCCCCTCCCTTTCCGCGATGCTGCTTTTGCAGTGAGTCATCGAGCCTTGGTGATGGAGATGAGTCAAGTACTCCATCAGAAAATCAACATGCCACGTGAAATGACTTGGAACAACCACCTAACTCTTTACCTCGCACTCTGTGTCTTCGAAGGGGCCTTTGCAAGACATGACCTACTGCATCTCCATGAAAACTGGCACTGGACTCAGCAGCAGAGATCAACTATCAGCATACTGAACATGCCTCAACGTAACTGTCAGCGTTGTCAATCATGTCCACGATGGGAAAGAAACGCCGTTCAGCAGAGTAGTTACGTCGATGAGGCTGAGAGCGACAGCGAAAACAACAATTATCAGACATCAACACAGGATATTCACATCCTCAGCTGGAATGCAACATATCCATTGCAGACCTAATCTTTCCTTGGCATCTGCATACACGTGTTGTGCATCATTATCACTTGTTCATGCATTATTATTAATTAATTGCTTACAGGCCAATCCGGCTCTATGACCAGCCTACGGGATCTGGCAACGTCACCAATTGATTGCACTCCCAGCGCGCCTTATTATATCATTGTGTAACCAAGCTCGACGAATGGCAGCAGAAATTATGCCGACACTTGCAGCCATTAGCCTGGCTGCGTCTGTGAAGAGAATCGTGGCGCCTTGCTTTTGAGTCCTGACCTCGTGACGTCCCCAAGCGGCTCTTTTTCTATCGACGTCATCAATTAATATGACGTTATTTGTTGGACTTCGACGCCACAGTCCAGAATCGTGGAACGTCGGACGAAAGATCCCTTCTTCATTCAGCAATTGACCATAGCGAGTCGACATCTTGGCGTAGCCCTATTCGTCGTTGCTTTATCGCGTCTCCAATACGATAACAATATGTAATGTTCAATTTCAAGTTGTACATATACATATTACAAGGCGTTGATCCAGAGTACATCAATATATGTACTGCATATCATAGTCTACAAATAGCAGTGAAATATGGAGTAGCAGTTGATACTGAGTCACTGACAGTATTGATATTGACAAGAGTGGGACTGTCATCCTGGTGGAGAATGCTGTGGCGCCACGGCCCCACCGTGCCGCTCGCTCCCGCCCGCGTCCCGCGTCCCGCTCTCCCCAACAGACCTTACCTACCTACCTAAGTAGGTATCAATGCGATGGAAGATCTGAAAGTTATCTTCGTGGATTACCACGCGAGGCCTGCTGCCAGTCACACAGTTTCCCTTTAAATCAACTTACCCTGTTACCAGCTATTGGTGCTCTTATTCACGTGCTATCCCCTTCCCCCTGTCAAGTTTACGCGATGGAGGGCTCAACGGATGATCCAGGTACCGACTGTGTCCTGGCATGGTGTTCTGGGACTTTAGTAGTTAGTCCGCTTCTATCTCTAGTTATTGGATAGTTGCTAAATATTAAATATAGTCTAAATTGCCTTCTCTATTACTATCTTGTCATACTCTACGACATCCTCCTGTCGGCCTGTAGGAGCTGTAGACTTTGTCTACCCCTTCGCACCGACCTACGCTCGTCACAGTAGTGGCTTATAGATTTAGGTATTTATTGAACTTTAGGTTGAGCTATCATAATAATGGTCTCCCCCATTAACTATCTATTTCAGCCTTAATAATAAGAGCTTATATAGCAAGACTTAAGCTAGTGATCGAAAGATAAAAAGCACTTTTACATGGACAAATACTTAAGCATATTTTTGACCAGGCTTATAGAACCCACGAGCCCGAATACAACATCCGCATTCCATAGTGCAGTGTCCCTTTCTGCCCTTGTACCGCGTAGTTTTGAGATATTGCTGACAGCATCCACAGTCCCGCTCACAGCATCCTCCATTAGCTTTGCAGAGAAGTTTAGCCTTCTCTCCGTATAAGACTGCATCATTTATACTTGCTTCCCAGGTCCGAATCCAAGGCCCTTTAGGCTTATTTAGTTCTGCTGTATATATAGCCCGTTTATGAAGCCAGAGTTGCTCATCAAAGGTCTCCAGCTCTTTCTTCCATTTTTCTAGAGTCTTTGCCTTGTCTTCTGTCAAACTTTCTATCTGACTCTGTTTTTCATATGCTGCCACTTCTTCCTTTAAATATATTTCCCGTTGCAAAAGTGAAAACTCTTTGCGTCTTTCAGCGTTCTGTTTTCTGATCCAGTCTCCTTGGGCTCTTTTGCGTTTGGCTGAAACAAAATGTGACTCAAAGTCCCGGAGTGAGGTCGCCCAGTCATATCGATTTCGCTGCTCAAGTGCGTGTTCGATTCTTTCAAAAAACTTCATGGTAGCAAATTAGTCGGCTTTAGGAGAAGTCAGGCACGGTCGAGAATGTAGGACAACAGCTAAAAGAAGAGAGTGGCGCGTGTATTGTTAGTCATGAGTCTAATCGAATATGGAAAAGAAAGAAAATTGTGGTATACTTCAATGATGTTCTGGAAGTCTTGAATCCTTCGGATTGCGTGGTAAAGTGTTGAGACGCTTCATTTTTTTCCCCCATTCTTATACCACTACTAATCCAGGCAGAAGTCGTCAATGACGCAATGCTTTCCATTCCAGGGAAAGAAGATTTAGAGACTTGTTCTGAAGGATCAACTTCAACTACATAATAAGAAAAATAAAGAAGGAGAGGGAGGGAGACTTAACTATTAGCGTAATTTTACAGAAGGAGCATTCACATCCTTGTTGATGTTCAGTGAAAGCTGCCACACAATTTTAGTGCTTCCTCTCACTACAACAGGGAAGCAGGTGAATAAAGGAAAGACCGACCTAAGTGCTCCTTCCATAGAAATCTAGCAACCTTTACCTATATATATCAACGTTCTCCATCTTGATCCTCCTTTCTCCTCCTTTCTCTCAGTCAGACATCATCAGAACCCCATCTTCTCTTCTTAAAAATAAAAATCAAAACTTCATACCTGTGCATTCCGCTTTTTTTTCAGTATAAAAGAAATTCTCTTCAAAATTGTCCTCAAGTGAGGCTTCGGCCTCAGTTCAAGACGGTTGTGCTTCTGCGTCTATCCCTGTACAGCAATTCCCATTACTGCGACATGCTTGCTGCTTGTTGCAGGTTCTGCTTCCGCTACTTCTGGGTTCGACCCCGTGAGAAGTACCCCAGAAAATATCGCAAACGGTATGATACCATGTGTCATCTCTGGTCATCTAGTGCTGATAATGCTTTTAGATACTGTATGGTGACCTCAAACTCGGAGAGGTCCGGAGGGCCTCCGGGCATGACAATCTGTCAAGCGGCACCAAAAGCCGCGTCAGCAGCCGGGAAGAGGCTGCAAGTTCAGAGGACAGTAGCAGGAGAGCAGCAGAGGGTACTGGAGGCGAGCTGGGGGCATTAGATTTTAGGATCCTGACTAAAACACTTCTCTATAGTGCTATAGATGGCATAATGAGGCGCGTGGCCGACAGAATCGTGCCGGGGGGTGGGAGGAGGTGGAATTTGCTTTACTTATGTATGCATGCATATATAGAGAGAAACCTCCTGACTCGCAGATCAATACTACGGAGTATACTACTACGGTACTACCTGTATAACAAAGCAGATCAAGTAGGCAGACTATAAAAATAAAAATACAAGTACTGATATATGCTACAGAAGTAGAAGGTAGAGCTTACTAGATACTAATTTGTTATGAGACTGGGGCGCAAAAAAAAGGAGAAGAATTGAACATCTCCATTTCAATTAGAGTATCCGTTTCCATTCCATTCCATTCATTTCATTTCATCCATTTCATCCATATCCATTCATTCATGTGTAATTCATTCCATGCCTTCATCCATACCGTATCGTATCGTTCCAAACTGTACTGTACGTACTGAAATACATAATGGCCTCATTTACAAACATGACAATACAAAAGTAAATCAAATCGTCCCATAGTCAGGTTTTCACTCGCTATCGCTCAAGCTGTCCCTCCGTCTGCTGCGTCCCCCTTCTCGTCGGTAGCCCTTGCTCAGCTCCGGGATGGGATGGTGGTAAGTCCTCGTTCCCGTGCCGTAATCCGTCTCAACCGTCGAGTATTGATACTCCGAGTTGGACCCCCGTGATGAAAAGTCTAGTGGCTCCGTGTATCCTCCCGGCATCGAAGAGCGATGACCATGCCTTCGATGACTGCTGTGGCGCGAACGGGACGCTCGGCTGCGTTGATGACGGCGTTGACTTCGCCGAGAGGACGGATCGCGCAAGTGGTGCTCCTCGGTCGCCTGGCTCAGGATGTCTTCGCTGCCTGCTGTAAAAGAGAACCCAGAGACACTGCGCTGATTCCTATGCCCCTCGTCGACCTCACTTGGAGTGACCTCACTCGTGTTGACCTCACTTGTGTTGTACGTTGAAGTCGGAGCGTTGCTGGTCGTGTATTCGCTTCCATAATACGTGCCGGTGCCGTCGGGTTCCCGATTGATCCCTCCCACGCGCGCTGGTTTCTCGTGGCGATACGCTCGTACGTCCTCATCGACCTCGCCTTCCCACTTCTCCTCCCTGCGCCTGCGGAGAATCTTCTGCTTGGCCGTCTCCTTGAATTTCTTCTTGCGTTTTGGTTTTTCCTCCGTCACAGTCGTCGCCGTCTCGTCCACCGTCTCGGTCATGTCGGTCACAGTATAGCCATCGTCGCTATACCCTCGGTGAACAATACTCCCGCCGCCCAGTTTTGTGCTCTTTGTGGCATTGCTGAGTGTCCTCCCGTCAGGGCCCTTCCGGCGTAGCACCGTCGACTTGTACTCCTCCCAGTCGCCTTTGCGCCACACGAACCCACCGTTCTTTGCCCAGAAAAAGAACCAGATGGCAGCCAGCACAAAAGACGCTCCGATAATCGCAAACAAGGCCATGAGACCCGCCATGTTAATGTCGTTCGGGGGAATCGAACCTTTTCCAGGATGGGGAGTCGTAGTAGGGGTAATCGATCGAGCGGTCATGGCTCTGAAAACATCCATCGGCGAAAATACAGAGCGTCCGTTCAGCTCAGGGATCTCTGTGGAGGGGGCATTGTTGGATGATTCCGTATCGAGCGCGAGAGAAGGCACGTCCAGTCCTGGAACATCCTCAGATAGGGTTACTGGAGGCATGGTGGGCAACAGGAATGGTCAAGAGCACGTGGCTCAAGACAGCCCTGAGGAATGCATCAAATCAGTATAGAAGGCCTTGACATCTGACAGATCGGTGAAGAATGAACTCACCTTGGGAACTGACGGTCTGTTCGACGCAATACTCAGGAATGTGGAGATTCGATCGGATCGGCGAAGGTTCAAGTGAAGTTGAACGAACTACGATTACCCACTCGTCAGCAGGGTCGACTGTCTAGTACAGAGTACACCTTGATGGGTAGGAGGTGGGAATAGAGGTTGAGAGAACAGAGAGGACTCAACTCAGGTAGCAAGCAACGGGTGAGGGCCGTCACCAGCGTCCCAACCCATGGCAGCGACTAAGAGAAATTGCGGTGGTTGACCGAATGGATTAATTGGAGAGGCTGGGCGTGTGACGTCTTTGTTTTGGGCAGCGCGTTGTCACGGGCAACCTGCTTATGTCAGCGCCTGTTGCTCCCTGTGGGGCGCCATCACGTGTCAAGCTAATTAGCGGGATCTTCGATCCATGGATCTCGCTCGGGAGTTTAGATAGGAGATAACGAATACAACGATATCAGATAAAGCCGTGTGACTTCCCAAGGCTATACCTTGAATCCTAGCGACCAAAATTCTGAGTTTGATAAAGACTGGAATACGGAACAAGCAAAAATTCATTTCAAAAAATCTAAGGCTGGCGTCCATCACTGATGGGCCACTGCTTGGCCTATCTTCGCAGAACGAGCTATATCCAAAAATGAGGCATTAAAGGAAAAACATCACAAAAATACCTTCCTCACATCTCAAAATACATATTGAAAACAGCAGAGACGTATGGTATACACTTGACGAGGCACCTTCATGAGTCACAGGTACCTGCAGGCTTGACGCAGAAATCATCAACTGGTGGCAACACTGCCAACCACAGAGATTCATAACCACGACGAGGAAGGCATGAAGAAAGAAGTGCAAAACATGGGCGGGCAAAAAACAGAAAACGAAACAGAACAGTCAACAAGGGGGTATAACTCTCGTATAACTCTCATTTCCTCCAAAGTGCAGTTCCCAAGACAACAAGGCGCATTGGGGCAAGAAGACTATGCAATGCAAGGACCATGAGGGATCAACAAGATTGAACGTCGTCAGAGGGTCATACAAGGAAGGGGCATCCACACATTAAGCAGGAAAAGAAACTGAAACATGCTCGGACAAGTCGTTGCAATGGTCATTACATCATACAGTCGTGCCACCGTAATCGATGCGACAGAAAGGGTCGCAAGGGCCAGGGCCCATGAAATAAAAGACGAGAACAGGAAAAAAAAAAGCCACCGTTCAACGAAAACAACTTTTTTTTTCGAGGGTGTCCAACTTTTCCAACTGGAACGAGCCAGTTTCATCTCAAATGCGTTCCTTTTTTTTCTTGTCAAAGAGCCAGACCCACAAACAGAAATGACGAACTTTTTATCCATTGCCTTTCCGTTTCCTAGCGCAAAAGAGTAGCGGAATTTTTTTTTCCGAGTCTTATCTTTCCGTGATCAAAATTCAAGGAAGTTTCACTCAAACCATAGTCCCCAACGTTGGACGGACAATGTAGCATCTATATATAGCATCTGGCATGTCCGTCAATCATAGCCTCGGCCGCTAAAAGTGGAGCGGCTCGAACGCCTACTGGCACGATCAGAGCGGCGTTCGTCTCGAGTGCGGCGGACATCTTCATGTTCCCTCCTTCCACTGACACTAGAATAGTCGGATTGCGCGGGCATGAGATACTTTCGAGGTCGCCGCGCCCCCTCAATATTCAGTTGCATCGCACCTTCCTCCCCGGTTCGCAGGTGGATTTTCTTGCCTCCGATCGCCTCTTGGGTGAAGCTCATCGTGAGCCCATTCATGGTCATGGTGATACCGCCGTCATCGTCATACTTCGAGCCCACTCCACTGCCATCGCGAGTGCGGGCATCGCTGCCCCGGCTGCTGTTCGAGCGGCTTTTCTGACTGCCACTGTCACTCTCCGGACGTTGAGACATCTTGGCCTTGAACAACGCATCGGCGGTGAGAGGGACCGTCTTGCTGCCAGACCGGGCAGCCTGGTACTCCTCTGCGTTTCGATGCTTCTGTTCCAGGTCATTCTTCAGGTCACTCCGTTCGTGATCGGTATCAGCCTCATCGTCATCATCATCATCGTCGTCATCGTCGTCATAGTCGTCGTAATACGACACGCGACGGCGACGAGAGTCTTCGATGGCAATTCGGGCTGGTCGTTCCGATTCATGGTAGGCAGACATCCTCCGGCTCTTCTTCAGACTCTGGCTGCGTTCGGGGACCAGGGTCTCTCGAGAATCCGGGAACTTTCGGATAACCCGATCCGGGAGTGCGGCTTCCAAGTCGGACATGTCAAAAGAAGACTGAGAGGGACGACGACCACCACCAGTAGTCGATGGAGCCTTGCGAGGCTGGATGATTTGGAGCGGGGGCTTCGACTTCGGCTTCGGAACGGGGGGTGGTGGCGGCGGCGGCATGCGATAGTAGTCCTCGTCCAGCTCAAGAGACTGGGAAGGAGGCCGAGATCGGTGCTCCCTGGAGGACCTTCGCTCCAGGGGGGCCCCTCCATCATAAACTGAAGATGGAGGGGTATATTCGACGACCGGCGGCCCGTAGACCGAACCCCTGCGGCTCCGTTCTTTGTGTCGCGACTTGGATGACGCCCGGGGCCGCTCATAGATGGGCTGGGGTCCCGGCCCTGGGTCGTGGTAGTACTGGGGGTGCTGAGGAGGATATGGTGGCTGGGGGTAAGAAGGTAGATTGGCGAACGCGGAGGCGGACGGCGGAGGACCGTGTTCATAAGGGCTCATTGGCATCGAGTTGTACATCGCATCTGGCAAAGGTCCATGGAAACTGAGAGGTCGGCCATTATCATGGTAGGAACGACTCATGCGGCGTTGTGCATGAGCTCCTTGAGAAACGTGGACATCCTGTCCATAGGGATACGGGTACCGAGCCGACTTGGGAGAGGACGGGATGTCATGGACGGGAGGAGGAGGAGGAGGAGGAGGTTGGGGATAGTAGTACGGGGGGTAGTCCATCGGCCGTGGCTCCATCGAGGTTGATGGATGATAGAGGCCCTGATCGCATTCCCAGCATCCCGACGGATGTCGAATGCTGGCGCTATCGCGCCTTCGGGCCTTGGACGAGGACCTGGGAGAGGAAGCCATGCGGCTGGAATTGCGCATGGCGTCGAACTGCATCGCGTCGGCGGACGTGCGCTTGTCGGCCCGTTCTTTCCCTTTGTCCTTCCGGCTCTCTCGATGCTTTTCGGTGCTGGCCGCCCTCGGGGTCGTATCCAATTTCAAGGCAGCCGGACTGCGTCGTCCACTCGGAGGAGACTGGTAGCCGCTGTTGACGGTGGCAGCGGTACGGCTCGAGTATCCCGAATCGCTGGCAAGATCCAAAGCCAGCTCCGCCGGTCTCAGCTCCGACTTTGAGCGTTTTGCGGCGACGTTGGCAACTTGGCGAGTTTCCGGGAGGGCAACATTGGCGTCCTCATCGTACTCTTCGACGAAGGCGGCGTGCGGCACCTGCGGAGCTCTGGGGGGCATTGTGCTGATCACGCAGCGGTTTTAACGTCGCGGGAGCCCGACTTGAGCGAGCAGGCAGCCAAGGACAGAGCACGATCGAGTGCGGTCTGCGGTGACCCGTCGAACAAAGACGGCTAGTTCACGGGCTGCTGGCCTGCAGTCCGTACCCAATCCTGTCGTAGTCGAGGTTCTCGTCTGGATACTTCTTAGCTCTGGACCTGTTGATCGCGGAAGAGGCCGCCAGGCAACGATGTCAACGACCGGCAGTGATTTCGAATTGGTAGCTGAAATCCACCGCAGCCGGCAACGGGTCCATTCGAGAGGCTGGCGCTGCTGACAGGACGACGGAAGGGGGGATAGGAAGACGCAGCGAGCGAGACGCGCGCCGCAATCAGCCGTGAGTCAGGAGCAGGAGGGCTTTCTGGCAGCCTGTGAATGGGCGGCGAGAGAGGAAAAACGCAGAGCGGTCTTGCAGAGTGCAGCAGGCAGGCGGCGGTTGGATGATCTGGCGGACTGACGGGCTGCAAGGTGGGGTCGGTGTGGAGATGGCCAGACGAGTGGAAGGCGAGGGCACGACAGGTCACAGCAGCAGCAATAGATTAAACTGGGACGCCCGCAGAACCAGACGCGCTGAGGCGGATGCAGGTGCGTTGAGCAGAGAGCGAAAGGGAACGAGGCCAGCGCACGCAGGCGGAAGGGAGACAAGAGAGAAATAAGAGCGTGACAGGCAGCGGGCGACACTATAAGACGGGAGCGACGCAGCTGCGCGCACGAGTTCTGCGAAAAGCCCGGGCAAATCGTGTGCACGACGCAAGAAGGGGGGGAGCAATCGGCGCGCGCAATGGAAGGGACTCGAATGAAACGATCTAGCTCAGGGGTGGTTGCTGGATGATTTTATTAGCCGGGGCGCAGGCGAAACAACGCGGGCGAGTGGAGAGCGACGCGAGGGTGCGCAGTGGGGGACAAGACTAGCCCGGCCTGCAGGATGGACGAGCACAGGATGCACGACAAGAAATGCCTCCGTTCTCTGGAAAAATTTGACAGAAAAAAAAATTTCGTCGCGTCCCACTTGTTAGATCGCGTGGATGACTCTGCCCCTCCGCCTCTAGGGGACTACTGATCGCGTCGAGCTCGTGCACGGCGTGAGATGAGCGGCGGAGTTGGGCTGCATTGTCACTAAGAATATAAGAGGCGTTGGGGCTATGGCGATGGGGTATTTTCGGAACGGCGAGAGTCGGAGGGGACTGGCAGATGGGTTCTTATGCTTGTGAGCCACCGATCTGGAGGTGTATACACCGGTAACGCCTATACAGAATCAGCCTGTTTAATACGGCCGTCTTGCTTTCCTTTGTTCATCCCGTGTCTCCTTCTGATGATTTTCTCAGGCACCCATCGTCATCCTGCAGGCGTCGCCGTGTTTTCCGACGCGACGAGAAATCCCTCCGACCCAGCGCGCGACAGAGGCTGTACAGTTCCTGCGATGGGCGGGCCGTCCGGTCGTGGTTGGCTGCCCAAGAGCCGATTGCAGCCCAATGGTGTGGCCTTTCTGCTACGCGTCCCCCCTGTTCCCTGCATGGCTGCATGCCATGGAGAATCGTCGAGCGTAGCAAGAATGAATGAAACAGATAAGCCCGTTCCATGAGGTCTCCGGTGGCAACAGTCTGCTGTGACTGTGTGATCTCATCAGTCTCTCGGCTCCGTTAGCGGCCTTATCGGTTATCGAAGCTATCGATCGAGGGGCTTCCGTCCCGCCATAACCCCGGACTTTGCCATTATTATCCCTCAACAACCGGCTATTCAGTAGGAGAGGAATTTTTTTTAAAAAAAAGAAAGAAAGAAACAGTAACGGTTGCTGATTGTTACAGTCTGAGAAATTTCCCGGGATCTTCTACCACACTCTCAGAACTTGCTTGGTGGTTCTCCGTCGTGATCGTCTGGTCCGCTTTAGATCCGTGGTTCGTTCCCCCGCCTCCGAAATTAATTTATTTTAATTTCGTTGCGCTACTCGGGCACCGACGCACTGGGAACCATTACGTCGTTTCGGTTGTTTTTTTTTTCAGGTGACTTGTTCCTGGCAAGCAGCAGAATGCAACTCCAGAAGGATTCATCGCCAATGGCAGCCCCTCCACTTTTTTTTCTCATGACTCACCTGATTATTTATTTCTAGATTTGGTATCTGTTTCGAAAGAAGAGACTGGACAGACTAAATTAGCTGTGGTGCCCCTCACTGGGATCGCAACCGTTTAGATCGGCACCATGCGTTGCGTTATCTTCCCGTGACTCGAAAGAAAAGTCCAGTTTCCCCAAGTTTTCTGACTCATATTGTGGAACTGTCTGAAAAAGACACACACTTCCTCCGTGTGTAGTTAATTAATTTAATATATTACTATATTTATGAAAGCCAATCGTTTTAATGGTACTATATCCGCACTGTTCTTACAATTTGATGTCGTAAAGAGAGCAGAAAATAGTCCATCCAACCGTTTTCTCTTTCTAGTACTGCGTCCAACATGCAATGTTGTTATTATTCAGCTAGAAGAAGACCTATGAGGCTCAATTCTTACTGTTTGGTCTGACGACTTGTCACAGGGCTCTACAAAAAAATGAGGGAGAGAGCAACTAGAAAAAATATCGAGTCGTGTTGAGTGTATGGTCAGTTCTTCCTCCTTTGTTGCAGGATTGCCTGGTCCTTGCACGACGAAACAAACTCTGCATCATCGCCCGGACCAGGGTCAGATTTGCCCTCCTCTTCTGCCACAGCTGTCGGTCTTTTACTTTCCTGCTCCCTCTCCTTGTTGTCTGGAGATTCCCAGGCCATCAGTTGCGAAAGGATTTAGCCCTGCAGATCACATGAATGATAAGCTGGAGGTCGAATATGGCATGACAACAACGTTAATGAGGTTGGCCCTCGCTTAGGGACTGCTCCCTGATCTGTTGCTCTCATATTGCCGCCTGATTATCAAGAGCAATGAAATTGCTGCCCAGCTGATGGCCCAGCAGGTGGAATGTCATTTTGCCACAACTCAACCCACACATTGTACAGTACGTGCCTAGCCTGATCTACCATGTGAACAGAAATTTTCACCCATGAAACTATAATGCTAATCTAGAGATTTCTACAGAAGAGAAAGCAAGCGAGTGGGGAGGAAAACGACATTGTTACGCCATATGGAAAGCTTACTCCGCGGTATAAACCGGGGTTGGTGCCTATAATCGCGACAATTTATCCAGCGGACCCTTGTCTTTGTAGCCTTCAACGCACTCGACGTCCTCCATTCCCTTCCAAGCCTGTTGTTCCGGAAACTCTCCGGAGTCCACGGGACAGGACAGGCGAGAGGGATGGAGGAATCGATTGTTGCCAGATGGCCAGATATATTGCTTGACTGTCAGATTGCTTCATCTGCCTGAAGACCATATTATCGTCTGTCTCTATAGCTTGAGACGAAAGGCAGATGGAGTCCGCAGGCTACACATCCGTCCATTTCCCGGCAGCAACAAACTCGTCCATGCTGCTAGGCAGCCAAGTAGAGGGTATCCTTCTCCTGATAGGCTTTCGTTTCCTCGCTTAGTTTTCCGCAGGAAGATTTTTCTTCCAAACTGCATCGACTGTCTCATGAATAGCGTTCGCTGATGCCATCTCCAGACTTTCATGACAATCCTCTCCCAGTTACCCAAGAATTTGCCTGTCACTGAAGACGACTCGAAGTCGCAATTGGATTGTCGTCGTTGCCGTTCAGGCTATCTTCCCCCTCCGTGGTGGTTCCTCCCACGATGATGGCGAGTGGCGTCACGGGACACACTGAGGCCCGCCGCCCTTCACCGCTCCTCGCATGGATAGCAATCTTGCAAGCGCATGGAACGCCTGCATTCCTCACAGCGTATCTGTTTAGCTCGAGGCATTGCAGACTGGGTCAATGCCACGCCACACAAATGCTGGTCCTATTGGACCCTGGAGAAAGTCAGAGAAAGCTTGCCATTCTTCGAACATGACATGCATACAGACACTCCCGGCAGCTATCCCCGCTTCAGGATCGGATCAAGACCAGAGCATACACCACGAACCAGGAGTTCGCAATGTATGCTGTACCAGCGTATGTGAGTATCATCACCGTGGAGTGTCGAAGCAGGGTTGCTAAACAGAGGGAATCAAAGGCTTGTAGGCGTGGCACCTTTGGATAGATCGGAATATATCGCGCAGAGTCCGGGGGAGCATGAGTACGTCGGTCCAACTCCGAAACACGTGTGGAGAAGCGAGACGGTTTCTGCCTCCAGGTCAGGATCTCGTGCCTGTCATGCGGTCCTGCTGCAGCATGGGATCTGGTATCTAACTTGCATTTGGCATATTTCCTCCGAGCTCTTTTCCTTTCCTCCGAGTTATTTCTGTGGCACCTGCTGGTGCGTTGGCATCAGTTTTAATGTGCTGGAATGCTGATGATGCCGGTTGTAAGTCTGGTGACCTCCTATATCCTCACAAAACTTTTTATAGGAATGTGCCCTATACTGCGTCGAGACATCTATCTAGATGAGAATGGTGTTCTAAACGTAGACCACCAACTCCACATTCACAAGCAGTCGTCTGTGCAGTCCAGATAACAAGACTGGGCCACGTGCCATCAAAGTGAGGCGGACAGACAGACTACTTGAGCTTGCAGCTTGCCGCTTGATTAGAATTCTTATTCCCCGCTGCATGCAGCTTTGATACCAGACCAATGCAGAGCCGATACGAAGGACAGCACACTATAGACTGGCTACAGTGAGTTACACACATCCTTCAGCACAGTTGAGATGGTTTGATTTGATCGCATTTGCTGTGTGACCACCTTGTTATTGGCATTTAATATATTGTTTCTAAGCTGTCACTCCAACCAGGACCCCATCCATGTTGTACTAATTATGTGGGGAAACAAAGCATAGGATGGGACGGACAAGAACCATGGACATGGCATGGTTGAAAAGCTAAAACTGACCTGAGAGATTTTGGACCGATGACTTGCAGATAAACCAACAATGTCAGTTACTAAGTACGCAATAGCACAGATTCTGATTGGCTGCACACGAGCGCTCCAGACGATGGAAACCGACTTTCAAAAAGGCGGTCAGGATAATAATAATGATCGATCGATCGTCGATAAATATCGATAACTTTGTTTGGCGCCAATCCCTATTCCTCATCGGGTCATGCATGCAGATGCCACGATATCTGTGGATAACATCAGACGCAAGGGGGAATGAGGGTGGACTCTTACCTACCTACTACCTACCTACATACCTACCAACATGGGACATTGTCATTTAGTAACTAACTTCATCAACATTGTATATACAGTCCATGTATGTACGTATGTGCTGTACCATTGGAACAGGTATTGGTATTAGCCATCTATCACGGAGAGTTTTTGCGCTCCCAGTCAGTCATTAATGATAACGGTGGTCCATATTCATTGTATAAATACATATATACCTCATACAAGAACTTCTGCAAAGAGAGTATTTATTTATTTATTATTTACATTATTTTGTCTTTCCATTTCCCTTTTTTTAGGTCTGCCATGGTGTCTGCTTTTTTTTTTGTTCTAGTAAATGATGACACGTCGACTACATAATTAGTTAGGATCGGAAAGCGATTTCTCATGTCATATATATTCGTAGCGCAGATCATAGTCCGCTTCTGTTTCGTTTTTTTTAAAATCTCTCTATATCATCGTTATATATATATATATATATTTTTCATCATCAAGATTAATGACTTCTAGTCAATCCCCATTGACCTCCGGAACAAATCAGCCACTTCTTGGTGCCCATTTTCCTTTGCCAAGTCGAATGCTGTCCTGTTCTGGCAATCCTTCTGGAATTTGTCTGCCCTATGTCGAAGGAGCAGACGTACTACTCTCATATGCCCCGCCATCGCTGCGCAATGGAGTGGTGTGGTTCCATTCTCGGTTTTTGCATTGACATCGGCGCCTTCCATAAGCAGACCCAGGAGCGTGTCTTCGTTACCATGTCGTGCAGCAAAACGTAGGGCCGTCTCTCCATTGTCTAGTTTTGCGTCAATGTTGGCTCCCCTGGCCAATAAGAACATCGTGACTTCATAATCCATAGGGGCAACACAGAGCAATGCCTTGTCGGCATCGAAACCAGGTGAATGGATATCGAACCCATGATCGAGGAGAAACTGAATTTTACCAGATTCCTTTGTAACGTCAGTGGTTTTCCATAGGACATGACTCGGGGAGCTTCCAAATGGCATTTCAGTTTTCAAGTTTCCCTGCTTTGGCATTCTGGATGGCAACGCTTCCCCGTTTACAGGTGATTTGCTCAATGCATCGGTATTACCGTTACTGTAAAAGTCGGGAAGATCCTTAAGCCAGGGATCTGTTAAAGCATCGGCTGCTGACGGTCGTTGAGGCGGGCATGCAGCCAGCAGCTGCTTAATGAAGGATATTCCGGCAGCGCTCACATTCTGGGATCTAAGGTCGTCCTCTGGAAATGGTTTTTTTTTTTCCAAGACAGTAGTTCCATAGTCGCCTCTGTCGGGGAAAAGGCAAACATTTGGTGAGAAGACAATACAGCACACAACCAAGTGACCAGATGTCTACAGCACTGGTATATACCGAAGTTTCGACATCCAACAAGTCCAGTATTTCCGGGGCCGTGTAACCGTCGGTTCCAACTCGAGTCTTGGGTGGTGGTTCATTGCCGTAAACCTGTTTGCTGACGCCAAAATCCCCAATCTTGATCCAAATGGGTGACTTTTGGACGACGAAGATATTCTGCGGCTTCAGATCGCGGTGAAGGATACCAATGGTATGAATCTGCACGAGGCCCTCCAGAAGCTGTTGACAGACGAGCTGGACCTCCGACTCGGGAATGGGGTCTCTATAGCAGGTTGCATGTCCCCCAGCGGAAGATATTCCATGGCCAGATAGATCGCATTTTCAGATTCGTTTTCAAACCAGCCAATCAGGTGGACGAAGAGAGCGTCGTCCTGGTGAAAAAAATCACCGTTAGCCCCGCAATATGGCAAGGTTCCTCTGAAATCGAGGGAACAGTATTAGAGCCAGGTGCTGTACTGTACTTTCGACAGCCGTGCCATTGCCACTAATTCTCTCATGTAATTCGACAGATCGCCTCCCTGGGGTTTGGCCATTCTTTTGACGGCTCGGACCTTTCCTACATCGTTGCGCTCAAGGAATACTTCCCCGCTGGTGCCGGCCCCGATCCGTTTATCCCTGGTCCATTCCTCAACCACTCGCTGTCGCCGCACTCCGCGGGCTGGGTCTGATACGTACGAAACCTGCCGGGTGCATCGGTCTGTGACGATCTCGACTTCCAGCTTGAAGTGGTCAGCAAAGAGATCCATAACGCGGTCAGAGCCTGCTGGCACGAGCAGTGGTGGTGATACGAACAAGCGCGGCAGCAGCAATTGGCGGATGACCCCGCAGCGTTTCGCCCCCAGACGGGTTAATCTCTGCCCACAGCAGTGGAGGGGTCTTGCGAAACCCTGTCTTGTCCTGCCTGTTGAGAACTGGGGTGCAGTCGAAACTTCGACAGTAGCGTCTTGAGAAGGATGGAGGCTGCTGGATTGGGTCTCGCGGTCGTCGGAACCGTGGACCTCTGCTTGGAAGTAAGTAAGGGGAAACAGCGATGGGCTGCGCGCTAACGCGACGACTTCTGCAAACAGATACGGAAAGCTCTTAGTGACCAAGTATCGCGACTACAAGCATGCCGAACGGGACATTGGGCGGAGGATGTACCTGGAAGATGTATACATTATGCAACATGACATTTATAGCTTTGGGGTCTGTCTTCTGGAGCTGGGGCTCTGGAGCTCTTTTATGTGTCCTGACGGCGAGTCCCTGAAGCCAGGACCAGAACTGGATATTATTGCCGACGCGATAGCCTCAGAAGACCGGGTCAAGGCTGCATTTGACATCAAGAGAACCCTGGTCTCCATTGCCAACGAAAAGCTACCTAGTCGCATGGGGCAAAAATATGCCAATCTGGTTACATCTTGCTTGACGTGTCTTGACCCGGAGGAAACCAATTCCTTTGGTAAAGGGAGAGACCTGGAGGATGAAGACGGCATCGTTGTTGGAGTCCAGTATATAGAGAAGGTAATAATTTTCCGAAATTCCTGACGCGTCGGCACTCAGCACTAACATTATGTAGATATTGTTGCAGATTGAAGAAATATCGATATAATTTTCCTGTATGGACTTCGAGATGTTGTTGATGATTTATATATATACCCCGACTCGACCCCTTGTACAGTACGTAAGGAGGAAACTCAACTGGAGTTGAAAACGAAAACGAAAACGAAAACGAAAACGAAGAAGAAGAGATACAATCGATTGCGATGATCACACGTGGGAAGACATAGTCTTACAGCCCTGTGTATATCATATGCCTTATACGATTGATTGACTCATCGACATGCTGGAGCTGTATCCAGTTTCCTTGTCTCTTCTATCTACATATTTGTCCGTCTGTCTGTTTTCTGCTTGTCTATCTCGCCAGCCGTGTCATGATTCACATGCTATTACCAAACAAAGACAGATGGGTAATGCCTGCTGCCTGCTGTCTGCTCTAGAAATCCCACTGCCGCATCCAAATCTTGATCCAATCCGGCGATACGGCCTGCAGCTTCGACGCTTCGGGGCTGTCTCTCGTCAGGCGAGTCACTTCATATTCCAGCCTCATCTCGTCGCGAGTCTCCCCCCTTTCCATCAGCTTGAAGAACTCCAGTAGCTTGACGCCTGGGTTCTCGGCTACCACGTAGCCGTGATTGTCGCCCGCGCTTCGCTCGAGTGCCTCCGTCCAGTCTTTCAGCGGGACGGTGCGTATCTTGCTTGGTCCGCCGAGCTGCTCTTGCACCGTGGGCAGAAGCGTCGACCACTCTGTTACTTTCGGGTTGACGAGGTTGTATACTGCCGGAGCAGCAGTAGCAGCTTCTGTATCTTTCTTCTCGATCAGGACTTCGAGCAGCTGCACGATAATCACCGCCAGCACGTCGACCGGGATCCAGCTGATCGTGCCCATGGTCCCCAGCGACGTCGGCAACTGTCCCAGATACTTGGAACTAGCGACCAAGCTGGGGAACCACTCCCGGACATTCCAACTGCCGGCAGCAGACAGCACCGGGCCGGCGATCTGGCCGACTCGGAGCACCGCAGTGGGGATGCCCGACGCTTTCGTAAACGCCTCCAGCAACCTCTCCCCGACGTACTTCGACTCCCCGTACCCCATCATCTCCGGCGCTTCGAGGTCGTCGATGATTTCCTCAGGAACGAGCTTGTCAGGATGCGCGGTTATCCAGTTGAGACACGATGAGATGCTCGACACGAACATGATGGGCGTCTGGTACTTGCATTTCCCGCTGAAGTCGATCAGATGCCGCACGCCGGCGATGTTGCTCTTCTCGAACGTCTCGATCGTGTGGTTGAAGTCGACTTTCCAGGCGTTGTGGATCAGCGCGCCCGCTGAGGAGACGAGGCGCGTGTATGTCTCGCTGTCCAGACCCAGGTCTGGCTTGGAGAGATCGGCTGTCAGAAACTCGACTCGCTGATCGTCCCATGATGTGTCTAGGCCCCTCTGTTTAAAGCTTGCTTTCTGGCGCGTCTCTGCGTCGGATGATCGGTTGAGACAGATGACTTTGGACACTTTCGGCGAGGAGAGGAGCGTGGCGAGCAAGTAGCTTCCAAGAGATCCCGTCGAGCCGGTAAGGATCACGACTGGATTGCCGCTTTCTTTCTCTTTGGACTGGATCGCTTGGTCACTCAGGCCAGCAAGGTACCGGTCCAGAATTTCCTGTAGACGAGCACGTCGACCGCCCGTTCCATTGATGGCCGTGCCGTTGGTCTGGTGTCCATTGACGACGACGTCAAGCGAGTGGGCAAGCTTGTTAATAGTCGGGGAAGAATAGAAGAGCTGCGGGGTAATTCTTTCGTAGTCCACCTCGACTTCTCGTGCCCGCAGTGCAGCTCTGAGCTTCTGCACCGCAATCGCAACCTGAAGCGAGTCCATGCCCAGTTCAAAGACGTCCTCGTCGTCGGCAAGCTCCCCCCTGTCGAGCACCTGGAGATAGAGCTTCCTGACCAGCTCGCGAATCGAAGCAATATCCTTCGGATCAGCCACCTCTAGCCCTTCCACCAGCAGGCCTTGCTCTGCCGCGGAATACAGCTCTTCAACCTGTTTCGCAAACTTGCGGACGCTGGCCTGTCGCTGGATGGTCCCCTTGGACGCTCTGCTGAACGCCTCCGTCGGCGACAAGATGTAGACGAGAGCTTTGGAGATGCGCGAAAAACGCGGCGCCTGCATGTTGGCCTTGTTGATGACCGGCCAGAGCGAGTCCAGCATTTGCTGCCGCTCCTCCGGCGTCGTGGCAGCATAGCCTTCCTTCAGTTCAACCAGAAGACACGGCAGGAATCGGTACTCTCCTACAATGACCGCTCCTTTCACAGCCGGATGGCTGCTAATAATTCCCTCGAGAGGGACAGGGTTGATCTTCTCGCCGTTCGATAGAACGATGAGGTCGTCACGTCGCCCCTCGTATCGCAGCCAGCCAGTCTGTCCCGGGACCACGGTGTAGAGATCCCTCGTCCTGTACTCGTCCAGATCTGGGAATGTGTACACCGTGCCATGGAAATGGTTCGTGGCGGGGTTTTTGGGGATAACCATCTCGTAGTGTCCTGGTGAGACCTCGTCGAAGCGGTACCCAACATGGGGGTTGAACTGGATGTAGGCCCATTGGCTGCTGTCGCCCGCGAGAGTGTGGAAAAACCCGTACTCTGTCGCGCCGATGAGGCTCCAGAGGTGTTTGAGCCGGGGGGCAAGGATTTTGCCCGCATGTTCGGGGAGAGGTCCGCCGACGTAGCAGACATGCTCCAGCTTGGACAGCAGATCGATGCTGTCCGGTTTCTTGGCCATGTCGCTCAGCAAGGAGGGCGGCGAGAACAGGGACGTCGCAAGATTTTGCTGCAAGAGAGCGGTGTTGTGCTCTGCCGTAGGTGGCACAGATGGATGAGGGAGGACGGTGACGCCGTCGAAGTAGGGTGAAAGGAGGGAGACAAAGAAACCGGCGGCCTATCGTGATTTATCACGATTAGAAGCAGACTTAGATGACTCCTTTTTTGGCTGGTATTTGCTCACATGAAACGGCGGAAGAAGGAATAGATTGATCTGACGTCGCAGCGCTAGTATGATGCTCGATTCTTTCCCATCGGTCGGGGCCAGTTCATGGCTGGAAAAACTGCGAATCACTGCAGGGGTGTACACGATGGGTTTAGGGTTTCCTAGGCAGTCAGTAAGTATATGTACTGACCACGCTTCGGATTTAACTCACCTGACGACCCAGACGTGTGAAACAGGAGGATTGGGTCATGGAGATGTTTTTCATCAACGGTTCGACAGACGTAATGCGGAGCAGTGACGCTGTCGTCCAAGAGGGTGTCGAGATCTGGAGCGACCCTCTTCGTTAGATCTGGCATCGAATCGAACAGCGGCTGGAGGCTCTTTTCCAGCGCACTGGCGTAGACAACTAGTTTGCAGTCGACGCGCTGGAACAGCTGCTTCTGGGCTTCGACTGTGTTTCTTATCGAAGGGGTCAACATCTGTATCCGTCAGTCATGTGCTTCCATCCAGAACGTCAAGCACGCCACTGCTCGTTTACGCGCAGTGATATAGAAGATGCTGGATTTCACTAACTATTCTGCCTGTCTTCATCGCAGCGACGGTGAACATCAGATATCTCAAGTCACTCGGCCCCAGGTAGGCGAACACCTGCCCTTCCCCCAGCACATCAGCCAGCTCCTGCGTCAGCCACCACGACACGCGATTGATGGCGTTGGCCAGGCAGGAGTAGCTGATCTCGCGGAACCCGTCTTGCGGGTTTGGCGAGCGTGCCATATATGCGTATGGCCGGTCGTATCCTTGTTTGGCTCGGTCGTCGAAGAAATGCGGCCACGGGAGCAGTCCATATTTCCGGTAGAGCTCGATTTGCTGCTGAGTTTCTTGTTCGACGGCCATGGTGAATAACTTTTATATCTGCACGAATGTATTTGGTGATATTATCTCCCTCAGTATGTTCTTGAGTATTCTGGCACGGAGATTGTCGAGTCAGTGGGTGCCGATGGAGGGGTGCAAGAGTTATATATATCCGAGCCAGCTCTTATCGCAAGTCCATTGACAAATACAACGTGTATACTGCACGCCAGACCCAGCCGAGAGTCGACATCTCCAATCACAGCCGGACATGCAGTCCTCGTCTCGAGCCATTTTCGTGGATGGTGTCACAGCAGGGCTGTGAAGTGCTCAGAGTGGGCTGAATACAACATCGCATCCACCCTGGGGGAGGGGCAAGCAACGGTTGTGCAGATCGTCTTCGGATTGGGGAAAGAGAAATCATCCGTTGCCGCTTAGCCGTTGAGGCGTGCCGTTTAGCAAATGGTTAGTGAGCCAACAGTTTCTTGATCAGGAATAACATTATAACGCCATACTAAATTATACTATTATTTTTAGATCACACCTCCACCGTTAAGCAGTCCATACTTGCAAGCTTTCAAGCTTTACCAGAACCACTCTCCAGGACGGAAAAAAAATCCAGCCAGCCGGAAGCAAGTCAGAGAGCATGCCTATTATCGACTCAACAGCTCCAGATGCGACCCATCGCGCGACACTCGCAGCGTCCTCGACTCGTAGTACGCCCGTACGCCAGTGAACGAGTAGATGGCCATCGTCGCCGTCTCCATCGCCAGGGATCAGATACAGCTCCCAGCTGCCAGTTACGGGGTTGAATTTTTGCGTGTGGTTTGGTGAATTGCTTGTGTTTAGGTTCACGGCGTTGAGGGCTGAGTAGATGATCCGCACGAGAAGGAAGGGCAGAGCGAGGGCTACGGCGAGAACCATCTATGTCAACCATTAATAAACATTCGAATTCCTCCTCAGAGGTGCTGACAGGGAAATGGACTAGATACTCACCCTCCTATGCGATCTCGTCAGCTCCGACAGATGAGCCACAAACACAAGACACCCAATCAACAGCCCAACCCAGGAAATGGCAAACAACGCCGTCGCTATCTGAAGCGACTTGGCTCCGTTGTCGACTGCCGTCTGGGCGTCTTTAGTCTGGTCGATGCCCCCGATGACACTCAGGCCAAGTCCGACGATGATCATGAGATGGAGCGGTTTGAGGAAGAAGGATGCGCGGCGCATGAAGGATTGGTCGGGGTCGGTGTTTGCGCGTCTGCCACAGCTTAGCATATCAAGGTCACTCGTTCCTGGTTGGTTGACACACTTCTGCACATTGAGAAAGCTCAATGTGGCATTCAACAGCGGAGAAAGCGCCACGCTGTTGAGAACCGTAGCCGCCGCGAGAAGACTCGTATCTCCCGATTCCTGGATGTGGATTGTCATGCCGGCGCCGCTGAGTTTGACTGCAATAAAAAAATAAACTCAACATGTCAAACGCATTCTGATATACATCAGAATATATATTAGAGGTGAAGGGGTCATACCAGCGCAGAAAAGTGTTAGGTAAATCCACCCCGCCTCTCGTCTGAACCCGTGCTGGAAGTTGTTGAAGATACAGAAGATCGAAACGGGGATGTAGATGACCAGCTCGAGGACGGCGATTTTGCCGTGACTGTCGAGCATGTTGACGGTTTAAATTTTGCAGCAGTTGGCTCAAGGGGTCAGGATGAGTAAGGGCTGATATCTACAAGTGAGAACAATTACAAGGACATCTGTTGGAGGCAGTATATATAGGGAAGAGGAGGTGGTCCTAACATCTTATAGCACTGGCACCTTTTCCATATCGATCTCTTCCATCGAGATGAGGCACTAATTGCTGCTCTCAGCCCTGCTGGGTGTACGTCTTCTGGATCTATGGCAGCTGCATGTCGCCGAATCTACTCAAAACGGAAGTATCCAGCCACGATTGTGGAGATATCATAGCTTCTTTCCAGTCAATAGACCCCTCTATACACGATGATCGACCTGCCTCTGTTGACGTTCAGGGGTATATCGAATGGTTCGTAAAATTATTCGCGGGTTGCAGTTAAGGTTACTTGCTGTATAGACTGCATCCCGCAAGCTGATTGGCTCCGGAGTGCTTGACAGTCGATTTGCGTCCCACACGGACGGCCGCTAAACCCAATCGGGCGCATTTTGCGATACACTTTGGCTCGAGCGTAGTTTAAGCATTTTAATGCTTCCCAGCAGCCTGGGACGAACACCATACTATTGCACAGCCATGTACCTAGGCACGAGGATCATCTTCAATGGCGCAGTTGTTGGGAAAAACCTCGGCATTTTCTCATCTCTTATTCTTGCACGTCGAGAGAACCCTGAAGCGGTATAATCTGTGAGCATGCTTCGTTTTGGATCAGCAGATTCGATCTCTGTCCTTCTCATTCTTTTTCAAATTAATTATCATTGTACCTTTCAACATATATAGTTCTGTCAAGTTCTCTTAACAAGATTGTTTTCTGTCGCCCTATGACTTTTTTTTTTCCAAACAGGCCTTCCAGCCCTACATCTTGTCCAGAATCCAGAATGCATCCAACGATGATCCTTCTTTATTTGTCGATCCTCTGCGCCTTAGTCTCTGGTGCAAGTGTCAATTCTTCCGTCATTACCACCCGGATTCGAAACAGATTCTCCTTGACAGTGCTGTTGAAGGACACGTCCTGGTGAAGAATGCCAACAATGCCCTGCCGCTGAAAAGGCCCAGATTGCTCTCTCTGTTTGGATATGATTGTCTTGCGCCGCGCAAGATGAACGTCCCCAGTCCTGCGACCTTTGGTATCAGTGGCTGGGGCTTCGGATATGAATCGAGCAACGTTACTCAGGCATTTCTCGAATTGCTGAGTGGGACAGGGACGCTACCGCAGTACGCAGCTGGGGGGACGATTATCAGTGGTGGTACGTTCATGACAATCTTACGGAATTTCTGTTGGCAACCAAGCTAATACTTGTAATCATCAGGCGGGAGCGGTGCAAATGCTCCACCTTATATCTCAGCACCGTTCGATGCAATCCTGGAGCAAGCACACAAAGACAACACCGGCCTCTTTTGGGATTTTGATTCCGTTTCTCCCAACGTCGACGCCGAGTCGTCTGCCTGTCTCGTCTTCATCAATGCTTTTTCTGCAGAAGGGTTTGATCGTGTTGGCCTGCACGGTAGGACTCCATAAACGTACGTGGACTTCGTGAACATCTCCTAATGGATCAAGACGACTATTCCGATGCCCTCGTCCTGAACATCGCCTCGAAATGCAACAACACCATCGTCATCATCCACAACGCGGGCATCCGCCTTGTCGACCAGTGGATCGACCATCCGAACGTGACGGCCGTCATGTTCGCCCATCTTCCGGGCCAAGAGAGCGGTCGCGCGCTCGTCCAGCTGCTGTACGGGTACAAGTCTCCCTCTGGAAAACTCCCCTACACGGTGGCGAGAAACGAGTCAGATTACAACGTTCTCTCTCCAGCGTTGCCTGAAGGCCGATACAGCGTTTTCCCGCAGAGTGACTTCACCGAAGGAACGAGCATTGACTATTGCTATTTCGACGTGCGAAAGGCATCGTCCCGCGCTATGAGTTTGGATTCGGCCTGAGCTATACCACGTTCGAATACGACGACCTTCGTTTGTCATTGTACCCAAACGCCTCCACCTCGTACTACCCTCCCAACTCGACCGTCCTGCCCGGCGGACTCGCCTCACTCTGGGACGTGATTCTACGAGCGGAAGCAATGGTTAAGAACACAGGGCAAATGGCAGCTGCAGAGGTCTCCCAGCTGTACGTCGCTTTCCCTGGCGATAGTACTGCTGTTAAACAATTGCGAGGCTTTGCCAAGACGTTCATGAATCCCGGTGAATCGAAACAGATCCGCTTCGCTCTGACGAGAAGAGATCTCTCCAGATGGAGTGCTGTGGATCAGGCCTGGGTCTTGCAGCGTGGGACATACGAGGTGTATGTTGGTGCGAGCAGTAGGGATCTGTCGTTGAGCGGGCGGGTGGTTATTCCTTAACCAGAGACAAGGTCTTGTGAGAGTACTTGTGATCTGGATGTGGAATAAATGTGATGGAATTCATTGAATTTGGCTTGTAAAGCTCATCATTCTGTTCTTGTCCATCTCATGATTTTCGGGGAATAGTTACCCCTTTAGGCTCTATATGATCCTCCGCACGTCATTCGTTTTAGCGGCCCCACCAATGGCGACCCATTTTAGGTGCCATACTAAGTCACATGACTTGGGCTTATGTAATAGTGGTGTAGACCTCCTGCACTCAGAAGGAAGTTCTCACGGCCTGACAGCCTGTAAACCTCTAAGAAAGTCTTATTCTGGGTCTATAGAGTCTAATAGTGGGTAGTTTTCATAAAATACTAATGGAGGCGGCCAGGTAATCAGGCTATTTGCAGCTTAGTAATCAGACCTATACGGAGTACCCATCTATATGGAATGGCCCTAGTGGCACTACCACTCTAGTACTGTCGATCAGGGAAGCAGCATGTTGAACTAGCCAAGATTTGACGAAGGCTATGTCAGTTGAATGTACTCCGTACAATACACGCCGTAGCTGTCCATCGCAACATACCGCTTCGCTCCCCCTTGAGCCGGCTTGAAGATGGTTGGCATCGCCGGTCGGAGCCGACGCTGCAAGACCTGTCGAAGGCGCAAGGTCAAGTGTGGTATGCTCGAAATTTCATTCGTGTATGCCTTTCTATGCATGTACAGGTACTGACCCAATCAGACGAAGGACGCCCCGTTTGTGATCGCTGTAAGAAAGGGCTTTTTCAATGCGAAGGCTACCGTGCTTTTCCGGTGTTTGTGAACAGAACTGCGCAAGAACCTCGTTCTTCAGCGCCAGACCGCCAGCTCAGCACGCCTGCCTTTCTGCTGCGAAATAACCTGAGCCAGGATGAGGAGAATCTATTTACTTCCCACCTGCTGGCGAGTCTCTTCACCGAAGCTGTCGACAGCCATGCCTCCCAGGTTTCTCCCTGGGTGGTCTATGCCATGCAGCACAGCGGTCCCAATTGTGCCGCCTTACAAGCCCTCGCAGCGGCTTACTTTGGAAAAGTGCACCACCATCAAAGCGCCCTGCGGAAGGGAGCTTTGCTATATATCGACGCTCTTCGCGGCCTGCGTCGAGACCTCCATGCACTCCACACCGTAGATGCCACCACGTTGACGAACGCCTTGTTTCTGGCCATTTACGAGTCGGTGACCTTCAACGATCCAGCGGGCTGGGTGACGCATTTTATTGGGATTGGACGGCTGGTATGTTCTTCCCTGGCCTTAGCGACCTGCGGAGACTGATCAATTCCAGATCGAAGCAAGGGGCCCGTATTGCCACCAGACAGGCTTGGAGAAGGAGATTTTCCTGGTGACCAGGAGCATCATTGTATGAATTTTGGTGAAGAGAACGTATTTTCTGCTGGTAGCTGACTGACTAAATGTGCAGGCTATCGGCCACGTCGTGGAAAGGAAGCGTTGCTTTCTGGAACAGGACGTGTGGAAAACCACCCCGTGGGCGCTGAGCCCAGCGTCAAAGTCTGTTATGGACTATTTGCTCGATATTCTGTGCGATATCCCCGGCATTCTGGAAGATGCAGACTTACTACAACAGAATTTTGGCTCCGCATCTGAACTACGAGGGATAGTCTGCCAGAGACTGGGTTCGTGTGTTCAAGACCTTTACAGCTGGCGCTGGCAGTGGGAGCGTCAATTTTCGAAATCTCACTTTCTTGTTGAGATGGAGCAGCTGCAGGATATTGGGCTTGAGCAAATGCAGCGCTGTCCTTTTTCGACCGCCATCTTCTTCAACGAATAACAGCCGGGTTAACGAGATCTGTGTCTACGATGCCCTCCTGCTCATTCTCTTTCGGCTGGGCAATTCCCTTTCTCTGCCACTTGTGCCTCTGCAGCAAGATTTTCGTCTCCAGAACCATTCGACCAGCCTGCTTCTACCAGGACAGGGAACCGTCAAGGACATTGCCCACGAAATCTGTAGAATGGTCCCCTACGCTCTGCTGAGTTACCGAGGCAATGCTGGCGCGTTTATGCTGATGTTCTCCCTACAAGTCGCCTATCGGAGCGTGGAAGAGAACTCTGAAGAGGCGCAGTGGCTTGACTGGGTCATCTCACACATCGCCGAAGTGCGCGGGTTCGGGGCTGTGAAATACGAGCCACAGACCCTGAGACTCATGCGATCACTCTCAGCAGCTTCACGACAGGGCCACTTTGAAGCCAACGGTGTGGCTTGTCGCTGATCTCAGATATAAACGGAAACTGGAGTGCGCTATTGGATCAACCTGACAGAAGCTAACAGGAAATCCCATCCACCGTGGACGTGGACTGGGTGGCCTCTCATTGAAGTTGCAACTCAAACCGCAAGGCCGATTCGGCTTTGGCTGACAGTTATATGCCGGTCCAAAACCCGCCTAGAGGGGAAAGATCTTGCGCTGCAAGCATGCGATCTTGCCACGATCTTGGACTGCTCTCAGCCATAGCCCAATGCTTTCTTGGGCAGTGGTTTCGAGCATAGGGCTGACGAAGTGATAGCGGGAACCATCTTTTCCTTCTTGAGTGGGTCAAGCCAGACCATCGTGCTGTGAACTGCTAGCCATGGCTGTGGCCACTCGTACGGAGCGGCCATCGCAAAACGCGCCAAAAAAACAGTTAGCGTGCGGCCTTCAGCAGTCGACAGTCCTGTCCTAAATAGGAAATTCATAGCGCCCTCCAGTCCTGGCCATGGCAAGAACACTGTACAATAGAAGAACTGGCGTGACGTGTTTTTCAGAATATTTAAAAGCATGGCTTGTCGCACAGATTGCTGCTCTCTGGACTGCATACACACTACGCGTATGGACTACTACATGGTCGATTTCTTCTCATTCGTTTACTCGATGCGTTGATTCAATCGTTTATTACCCCTGCTTCTTCGTCTTCACCATTCGAACTACAGAGAGAAAGATATGGATACCAGATATCCCTACCGTCAAGCGCCTCCGCAGCAATTAGTACCCGGACATGCAGTCCCAGCATCGGGGGGTTGTCCAGGTCCAGTTGACCGCGGTGAAGAGCAGCAGCTAGGGCAGCATCACACTGACTCGCTGCGTGGTGGCACATATCATGCCAATTCTTCTGCTCGACATGAACAGAATTGGAGTGCACATCATCCAGGCGCGTTTACAGAACGGCCACAGAGTTCTGTCGAACACTCCCCACAGAGCTTATCCGCAAACAAAAGACGGATATTCCCCATCCGCTGCAGAGCAAAGAAGAAAGTCGGACGTTAACCCTGCCACGTATCCTGGTACGGTAGAGGACAATGCCTTTTCAAGGATACCTCTTCAACGACCGATTGCCATCCCCCAGCTAGGCAAAGGCCGAGGCGTGCCCTTCCAACGCCTATACGCGCCGATCCTCGCGCAGCACGGAATATCAGAGCGCGGATTCATCGACTTCATCGACACCCTGAACGTGGTATCCTCAGCATCGCCGGCACTGAAAGTCCTCGATCTTGCAGGCGGCTTCATCGGCATGGTCCCTCACCACTGGGCCCAGATCGCAGCAACCAGCATGCAGGCCGTCGCCAAGGGCGGCATTGCGCTCGTCAGCAAGAGCCGGACAGAGACGTTCTTGTCAGAGAGCAACAGGAGCTTCTTTGCCCCGCGGAACCTGCGCGTGCAGCTCGTCTCGACGGAGGAGTTGCTGACGGCAGTCCGATTTCCGAAGGATAGGAACATCATTGCATCGCCTTTACAGGAAAACGTCCCACTCGAGCAGCAACCAAGTTTTCACACCCGTCTCCTTCTCGGTCTGAGGGATTGCGTGAGCGACACGGTAGCCACAAGCTTACCTCCGCGAACAGAGCGAAACCTCCTCGACAAGTTGAGCGCCGACCAGGTATCTCGCGACATTCGGAAGGTAGAAAAGAAGGCCCTCAAGGAAAGCCGGAAGGAGGAGAAGAAGAAGCAGAATAAGAAGCAGAACACAGAGCAGAAACTGGCAGAGAAGCTGCAGTGGATTTTGGTTGATGGTCTTTCCACGTAAAGCAGTAATGTCTGTTAAGTATATGTATGTATGTATGTATGTCATATGTCCCGTATATTAATACAAGCGATATCTTTAATAATAATTAGATAAGTTATTTTTTTTCTTATTCTGAAATTATAATTGCAACATACCCTTACTTAACAGTGATGGCCTTTCTCTAGATAGAGATTTTTCCTTTTAAAAAAAAATAAAGGTGTTTTTTTGTAAATGACATTTTATTTATTGATCCCTACCTAGGCAGTAAAAGTAAGTAACGAACGAAGTAAGCCAAGATTCCTACAGTTAGTTAGATCTTCTTCTAATAGGTATCTTTCTTTTTTGTCTGCTTTGTACTGTACGCTTATGTTGTGTTTCTTCCACGCTAGGATGATTGATTTCACCGGCTTTCTAGAAGGGAGGTATAAAAAACCAGCAAAGTCCGCACCTCGCTCAAATAAAAACAAATCACATCCTAGAGAACAATTGGTTAGATACGTATATATAAATAAGATGACTACGACATACCGATCAACCGGGCTGAGACCAAGCAGCCTCATGCCGTTATACAGGACCTGCCTGGCCGACTCGTACAGCGCCATGCGCGCCTTGGCCACCTCCGGCTCGCTGCCGATGACCTTCAGCACGTCGTAGCCCGAGCTCAGGATGTGCGTCATCCGGAACAGGTACGTCAACACCGTCGTCGGCTCCAGCGTCTTGTACGTGTTCAACACCACATCTGGCCACTGCGCCAGCAGACGCACAAGATCTGTCGCGTGCTCCTCCGTCAAGAGGCTCAGATCGGCACTCTCCAGGTCCTCCCGTTTCAGACCCGACTTGCGCGTCATCGAGCACAGACGGGCGTGTGCGTACTGCAGGTAAGGACCCGTGTCGCCTTCGAACGACGTCATGGCTTCAAGGTTGAAGTCGTAGCCATTCACCCTAGAATTTAATCAGATAAACGTCCCATTCGCGACGGGTGAAAAAAATGAAGAAGTCGGACATACCGCTTTCCAGTCATATCCTGTACCATGACCGCAGTAATACCCAGAATATCGGCCGTCTTGTAAGGGTCTTCGACCTGCTCGTACTTGGCCGTGTTCTTCTTCATGACTTCATGCATCTTGTCACCGACATCTCTCAAGATGTCGTCCAAGAACTTCACAGTCCCTTTCCGCGTGCTCATGCCTCGCACCATGCCAAAGTTGACGTGCTGGCAACGAGCCGCGAGGTCCTTGTAACCCATCAGCTCCGTAACCTTGAAGAGCTGCGCCAAGTGCAGATCCTGCTGCGCCGCGACAACATAGATCATCTTGTCGAAGTGGTATTCCTGGTCACGTTCCAAGATGGCACCGATATCACGGGTGAGGTACAGAGGCGTGCCATCCTTGCGAACAATGATCGCCTTTCCGAGCTTCTTCGCTCCATGCTTGGTGAAATCGACAATCACCGCTCCCTCGGAGCGCTCTGACACGCCGGCCTTCTCCATAGCCTCATACGCCGCCTTCAAGCTCTCAGGCTTGATCTGAGACTCACCGGAGTAGACATCGAAGTCGATGTTGAGACGAGCGTACGTCTGCTTGTACTTTTCAATACTAAGATCACGGAATCGCTTCCAGAGCGCAAGAGCCTCCGGGTCGCCGTCTTCCATGCTCTTGAAGTACCGACGGGCCTTCTCGTCCTCGCTCTCGTCAATGAGCTTCTGTAGCTGATTTTCGAGCTCCGTCACGTCTTCGTTCTTCTCCTTCTTGACCTTGATCTGCTCCCTAAGCTCCTTGATCGGACCCTCCTGGTTGGCGACATCATTGTTGATCTTCACGTAGACGTCGAACAGGTGGTTGATAGGATCCTTGGTGAGTTCGGCTTCGTTGCCATATTTCTTATATCCATTTGCCAGCAGCCCATACTGCTTTCCCCAATCTCCGAGGTAGTTCATCCTGATCACCTCCCATCCGGTAATCGTGTACAAGTTGGCGAGGAAACCTCCGATGATAGTGCTGCGCAGGTGGCCAGCATGGAAGGGCTTCGCAATATTGGGAGACGAGAACTCGATAATGATCCGCTTCTTCCCCTTCGACGGATCAGACGGGTCACGCAGACCCATGTTTCCGTTGGTACCATAGGTCGTCTTCTCCTTCAGAATCCGGCCCAAGACGGTCTGCGTCAGGGGCTGTGGTTTGAAGAAGAACTGCAGGTGGGACCCAGCCGGCGTCGGAGGGTAAATAAGGTCAGACGGGGGGAATTTCTCGGCCAGCTCAGCGCATAGGACTTCCGGCTTCTTATCCTTGATTTGTAGTGCCGGAACCTGGTGACGGGGGCTGTCAGCATTGCGAAAAGTACGTTTCTCCTTGCAGACATGTCATTCATACCGGAAGCACAAGGTCGCCCTTGTCCAAGGTACTCGTCCATGCCAACCTCTGATAGATCTTCAGCGGGTCAATTCCCGTCGCCTGACCTAAGTTCTCGGCGATATGCTCTCGATAAATGTCGACAGGGTTCAAGGACGGGAAGCAGTTAGGGAACTTGGACTGTTCGGTGGTAGAATGAAGGGACAGACTCTCGATCGCCGGAACAGCGGTCGACGCCTGGCCCTCTGCAGGGCCCTGCGAACCGGAGCTCATGATTGTGCGACGGTCCCGGTTGAAATCGCGGGGCTGCGCGCGTAGGATGGTGTCGAGACGAAAACCACGGCGTTGAAAGGAGGAAGTCCGTGATCGCTGAATGCAGGAGAACTGCGCAGAAAGGGAATTGACTGTAGGGCTGGCAAACTGCCAGTGCTGCAAGAAGGCGTCTGAAAGTCGCCAGGCCCCGCTCAGCAGATGGCGGCCCATAAGCGGAGAGGGATCGAGTCAGAGGCGAACTTTTTTTTTTCCTTAATTCGATCAACCAGTCATCCATACTGCCCAAGGCGGTGAAGAAGGAGGGGTGGAAGACCTGCCACGTGAGAAGCCCTAGCCCTGATGTCTGCTCACGTGACACATACTATGAGGGCAGCAGATTCATGAAATACGCCCACTCCTGATTAGTGGGAGATAAAAAATGGACAAAATTGCAGATTGGTAAGGGATATGCATTGTGACCCGGTTAGGACAGAATATGACAGAGAATATGGTACGAAACCCGCTGGGAAGTAGATCCACGGATAAACTATATATTCTGCCAAATGCATACGCGTACACTACATAATATGGCGAAAGGTTATGAGGAATAGAATGGGAACCTACTCGAAAATAGGTAATAATAAAGCCATATAGTATAGCAGTACACAGACCAGGATATATTTTCTCAAGCGTGTTTAAGTTACCGCTTCGTGACGTCAGTCAGGTACCGCAGCTCTATCTACTAGAACATAATTTCTACGCTGTCGATAGCTGGTCTCCAGAATATGTCCCTCTGCGTATTTCTATTTTGTATTTTTGCCAGCGTCCACGGCTCTATCGTGCGACTCCGCGATCATGGGTAAAAAGCGCCAGTCCGAGATCAGTCGGTCGATCTATCGAGCGCTTCTGCGCGACCCGCACCATGTCCACAAGAAGACCGTCCTCGCCTTTATCCTGGCCTTCTTCACGATCTGGCGCATCAGATTGGTTCGGCTGTCCGCTGAGCTGTTTCGACAGCTCCGGACGGAGGTGTGGAACATCGACGAGGAGGAATACAAGCGCTCGTTCCACTGCGAGAAAGGCCAAGGGAGGGTAGAACCCATGGGGGATCTGGGCTATTCTGGCTCTGTGGGTGATGCGTGCTATCTATCTTCTGTTTTACTTGAAAAAAAAAAGAACAAACTTGAAAGTGGTTAATATATGTGTTCTGTAACAGACGTTCTTCAGGACAGCCAACTCGAAATTCCTCATCAAGAGCCTTCCTCGACACTTTGAGCACTCCTTCTTCGAGGAGGAACTCCTACAGCCGTATTCCGACTACATGAGCAGCCATCCGGACTCGCTTCTCGTGCGCATCACCGATTTCCTGGTTGCGCCATACTGTACGCTCGGTGCCATGTTGAAGTTCGTTCCGACGCATCATGTCATTATGGAAAACGTCCTCTGCGACAGACAGGCCGAGCGCGAGGGGGACAAATGGGAAACGTACGACCTAAAGCCGATCGACTATTTCTATCCTAAGCGGGACCTTCTCCCCGAATCGCTGAGGAGTGAGAGCGTGATGCGGAAGCCATTCGACGTCTTTAACGACAAGATCCGAATCACGCGGGAGCAGTACAGTGACTTAAGACAGATGATTGAGGAAGACACAGGCTTCCTACAATCGGCAAACACGGTCGATTACTCGCTTTTCTTGGTGCGTTTCCCAGCGCACCTGCAGCCTGGCAATACCAATGTGCGCACAAGTCAATGGCGCGCAGGCGTCCCCTCGACTGATGGAAAATGGAAGTATCGCACCGTGCTGCTTGATTTCTTCTGGGCAAAGCACACGTTGCATGCTCAGGCTTTGACCACTATCGTGCAGACGTTCAATGTCGTTGGGCGTAAGGGTCCGATGACCATCACCACCACGGCCGAAGAGTACCGCCGGAAGTTTCTTCAAATGATAGACGGGTTGGTGGAGTTACAAACAACAACATAGAGTACAATTTACGACAGTATATTACTAATATCTATAAATTAATTTGTTTGGCGATGTTGATGTAACTTTTCTATTGTCCTTCAAGTGACATAACCCCTAGATCCGTCATGGATCAACACAAAGTCTACCGAAAAAAGACACCCGGCAATCTCGCTGGAATCAATCATCCCATAACGTTGAATTTAGATACAACGCGAGAACCCTATATCCACACAGAAATTGAACGTATCGTAGAGTCAACTTCACAACAGCGTTGACAAATAGGCGGCAACAACCATCTTGCTGAACCGCAGGATAGAAGATAACACCGCGGAAATTGGAACAACCCAGTCTCGACGCGTTACCTCTCTTGGGAACGCATTGATTCCCAAGTTTAGAAGGCGAAGACCTGATCTTCGAGTTTGCTGACTGGCCTTGCCTTGGCGTATCCCAACGATTCGGTAGCCTTCTTCATAGCGCTCACCATCGGAGGCGGACCACAGAGCAGAATCTTGACATCGGGGGCGGGCGCAGGGAGATGTTCCTGAAAGATGATACTGGTTAGACTCGACTTACTTACACACAGAGGAATCTCAAGACCTCGCGCGGACATGGAACGACTTACCTTGATCATGTCCGCAGTCACGAAACCCACACCGCCCTGCCAGCCCTCGGGCGGGTTGTTCAGCACGTAGTAGACATTGAAGCCGTCGTCTTCCTTCGCAAGCTGGTCCAGCTCGTCCTTGAGCAGGATATCTTCCGGGTTGACGTTGGCAAAGATCAGATCCACCTTGGTGGTGTCGTTGCCGCCGTTCCTCGGTCTGCCGCGAATAATGGCCTTGATAATCTGCAACATGGGCGTAATACCGGTTCCACCCGCGATCATACCAATGTGGCGGGCCATGTTGGGTGTGTAGACCATTGCTCCCTTGGGGCCCTTCACCTTCATTGTCTGCCCGATCTTCAGGTTGTCAAGGTACTTGGAGATGTTGCCCTGCGGATACGTCTTGACGAGCAGATCGAAGTAGCCTTTCTCGTTGTCAGACGTGATCGGAGTGTAGGACCGAACCACCTCCTTCGGCTGACCAGGGATCGTAGCAGCAAGAGAGATGTGTTGCCCAACGGGCAGGCCAAGGATGTCGGTGGGACGAGGCAGGGCGAAGCGGTAGATGGCGACATTGTGGGACACCATAGTCTTTTCCTTGAGGACAAACTCCTGGAACTCATTGGGATTCAACACCTTGCGCGGACCTAACGAAAGCAATGGAGCAGTCAGCGCAGTTCTTTCGACTTCGCACAGAGGCTAAGTTGGGGAATTCACGTACGATTGCTGAAGACCTTCCAGGCAGAAAGGACCGCTGCCACTGCGACAGCATAGGGAACCCATTCCAGCTTGACAATGGAGGTGCCTGCGATGAGCAGGACCGAAGGAATAATGATCCCGTTGATGTTTTCTCGAGAGAAGAGCCCGCTGCGGAGACACGACAGTCAGCATCCATTGAGTGCAGTGGACGAGCTCAGATTTCGACTTGTGACAGACCTCATCTTGGCTAGCTTACGTCCGTAACGGAGGCGAGGACGGGAGACAAAGAGGGAAAAGAGAAGTGATTGCGGACGTCGTGTGTGTAGGTAAGGGGAGGGAGTTATCTCGGCCTCCGGGGTGCAAGCAAAGCCCAAGCGTCGGATACCTCCCTCCGACGCTAAACGCTCCCACCAGGCGGTAAATCTGCAACTAAGTCTCCAGACTCCAGAACTGCGAGCGTTGGGAAGCGAGATCCATTCCCGGAAAAGCTACCCGAAGGTGCGATTCCCGACTCCTTCGACTCCCCGCAGACAGCAGAGACAGAGGGGCCCCGAAGTAACAAACAATAGACTCTTACCTAAGTATCTCTTGGCCAGTGATACAGGTTTCCCGTTCTGGGTTTTATCTACCTGGCCTATTACTCCGTATCAGATCCGGTGATCCCTTGACAGCGCTAACTAGGTCCAATCCAGCTTCCATATCTTGCTCAGATAATACTGCTTTTGTTATTCTATAGAGTGACGTGACAGGCAATTGTTGGAATGGGTTCTCCCTCCGCTCACGAACCCCCACCTTTCAATCTGACCGAAGTGGACCGCCAGGTGCTGTCCCAGACCGACGAGGAGTTCGTCTACCATGACTGGGAAAATCTGAAAGATATTATCGGTAAGAGAGATAACGATTTTTGTTTACTGGAAGAGATTGCTTTTTATAAAACATCTAGTCATTGCCTGCCCCTCATTCCATTCTCTCCTCTTTTGTGTTTCTCCCCGCAATCAGATCTCCCCACCTCTCATGGCCTTCATCTTTGTTTCTTCTGTCGCCTTCCGACTTCTTTAGCTATGCCATACCGAATATAAAACTGACTAGTCTCCCCCACATCAGCTCGGAACGATCTGGGGGCTCTGAAACGGAAGCCTTCCGATCTGGTCCGATACATCGCCTGGTCGAACAAAATCAAAGCGGAGTATGGCAGCATCACCAACTACATCTGCCAGGAGCGTCTGCGGTGGCATCAACCTAGTTCCGCAGCGGGGAGTACCCCGGTAATTCCGTTCAAGAACCCAACCCCCTTTGCCGATCCGGCAGACTTCAAGATCCTCCGCAACGACTGGCCCTATGGCGTTACGCCAGACGTCACCCACCTCGTCGTCTGGTCCAAGACGCCCATCGCCGTGAAGCCTGAAAATGGCGATGTCACGGACGAGTCTCGCGCGTTGATCGAGGACTTTGTCACCCGGACCTTCGTCGCCCGTCTGGAGCGCGACCCGCATTTCTCAGACAAGGCCAGAAACCATGTTCTATGGTTCAAGAACTGGGCTGCTTTGCAGAGTGTTCGCAGTTTGGAGCACATACATGTCTTGGTGAGGGATGTGCCGGAAGACATCATCACTGAGTGGACCGGAGAGCCAGGAATCGTCCGGTGACAGTTGACAATCGCACAAATCATCACGTATGTAATGATATAGACACAATAGGTATAAATATATTATGGTAGACTTTGAATACAAATAAGAAGTGAAAGTCGAAGAGATTTCACTATTGCACCCATATACATACATTCATCCATCCCATCAAATCAAGCGAAGGCGAGTAAACTCAGAATAGTGCATAACTTCCAGGAGGGTAAAAACGAAAAAGGAGAATAAAAACTACAACAGGCGAATTAGCAGCAAGAAAAAGGAAAAAATGGAATAAAAATAAAAATAAAACGATCAGCAACAAGCACAGCGCCCCCCTTTCGCACAACGGAAGAAAACAATAAGCCCTAGCCCGTTCGTCATACCTTCATACCGTACACATAGCCCCTTAAACAGCAAAGAATGAGAAATCACAGATATCCGAAAGACGATGACAACAGCCACCCTCTAAGTCTTCTGCTCCTCGACGAACTTCAGGGCTTCCTCTTTCGACACAACATCGATCGAACTGGCCTTGTTCCGGAAGCTAACGCCGTAGCATTTCTCCGCCACGTGAAGCATCTCAGGACGGAATGTGGTGCAGATGAATTGTCCGTTGGTAGATTCTGAGATGGACTTCAGCATCTGGGCCACCGCTGTGCGGTATTGCGCGTCCAGATTGGCGTCGATTTCGTCGAAAAGATAGAATGGTGCCGGGTCACAAGCCTGGATAGCGAAGACCAAGGCAAGAGCACACAGACCTAGATGGATAGATTTGTTAGTCAAAAGCAAAGATCTAACAGTTCGAGCACGGAGGGGAATTGCATACTCTTTTGCCCACCACTGAGCTGCTGAATCCGCTGCTGCTCGTCGTGCTTGCTGTTGAAACTGACACTGATGCCCACGCCAACGTAGTTTTCAACACTATCACGGCGATCTTCGTCTTCAGACTCAATCTCGTTGTCCTGTCGAAGTGCCCGATCCGTCTTCCGCTGGATGATCAGACGGCCCCGGCCGGTGGGAACGAGCTTTTCAAATATATTGGCGAATTCACGGGAGACCTGTTTGAATGTTCGCTCAATCGCTTCGTCCTTTCTCTGATCCAGCACCGTAATCAACTCATCAATCGACTTCTGAGATGCATCCAGCTCTTCTCTTCTCTTAGTCAACGCCTCACGTTGCTTGGTGAAATTGTTGTACTGTTCAAAGGCCTTTTTGTTGACGTGAGAGTACTTTTTCAAGGACTCGTTAACCTTATGTAGCTTCTTCACCAGAGTGTTGGAATCCACGTCCTTATATTTGGTAAATGCCTCGTCTGGCAAAACGCCCAAATCACGGATATTGGCGCTGCACTCTGCCGCCTGCTTGGTCAGTGCAGCCTTCTTCTGCATGCTCTTCTCCATCCTCCTCTGATGCTTCTCGATGGACTTGGCAAGGGCCTCCAGTTCGTTCCGTATCTCGGCTTTGCGGCGTTCCAACTGAGAGATCTGCCCATTACTCTGCTCAATCGAGGCATCCACCTGTTGGAGACGCTGATTGATCTTCTCCAAGGCACTGCTGAGCTTCTTCATCTCTCGTTGGCTCTCTTTGAGGTTACCCTGGATGGCATCTTCTCTTAAGTCAAGCTCTTGGCTGCTAAGCTGGTCGAGACGCGGATACAAATTCTCTCGCAGTTCAACTTCCAAGACCGACTTTCGAGCCTCAAGCTCACTGCGTCGGCTAGAGAGCTCTGAATATTGACGTCGAAGATTCTGTACCGTAGAGCCGAGAGTCTCCAACTGTGCCTCTTCTTCGGCCGTCAGCGCCTTTTGGAACGGAGACGACATCTCTGCCTCCAGAGCATTAACCTGACTCTCTAATGCGGACAGATTTGCATCAAGATTTCGGAGAGCTCGTTGTTTGGCATCGAGGTTGTCGTTTCTGTTCTGAAGTAAATCGCGTTTGCTCCTAAGCTCTTGTCGCATTGGCCCACTGCTGCCCTGGACTTGCTGTCTCCGCTGCTCGAGCTTCTGTAATTCACCAACAGCTTGGGTGATAATCTGATCCAGCCTCTCTAATTCCTTGCGAATCTCATTTGCACGATTCTTCTTGGCTTCATATTCGTCGCGCCATTTTGCGAGATTCTTCACAGCCTCAAGACGCGACTGCCTAGAATCGTGGAAACCACCAGTCAAGGCACCCCGCTTATCAGAGCGATCACCCTCCGGAGTGATGGCGTTCACACCATGGCTTCTGGCATACTGTGACGCGACTTGCAGATTCGGGCAGATGATTGTCTTTCCAAACACGTGCATGAATGCCTTCTCATAGGCAGGGTCAAACTGTAACTTCTCAATCATGGGAATAGCATCGCTAGCCTTAGGCAGGTTTACAGTACGAGGCTTTAGTCGGTTGAGAGGCATAAATGTGACCCTGCCAGCTTTCTCCTTTTGCAGGACCTCAAGAACTTTGGTCGCGGTGTCATCGGTATCAACAACGTAATGGAAAAGGCTTTGGCCAGCGGTAACCTCAACAGCCGTGCGGTATCGGTCATTCACTTCAAGCAATTCGGCCAAGGTCCCATAGACACCTTCGAGGTTGTATTGGCGCTTGATCCTGCGAACAGCAGCAATTCCACGACTCGTGTTATTATCCATCATTTGTGATAGATTCCGTTCGGCTCGCTCGACTTCATGAGAGGCATTTGCCAGCACCGAGTCGAGTTTCGCTTCCTCTCTCCATAGTTCCCTAATATCCAGTAAGTAAAACGCACAACGAATGTTAACTGAAAGTGTGACTCACTTTCTCTGGTCCATAAGGCGGTCTCTCTCATCCTTGGCAGCCTGTACCTCTTGCTCGATAGATTGCATCGCATCGCCCCTGCCATCAATCTGTTTGCGGAGAGATTCGATTTCAGGCTCCAAAAGAGCAATGCTGTTCTCAAGCTCTTTGATATCCTCGCTGGTCTGCGCCCTGACAGCCTTGACAGACGTAATGGAATTCCTAGTCTCCTGAATTTCCTTCTGGAGCCATTTATCTCGCTCGGACTTGTTTCTGAAACGGGAATTCCTTCCTTGTTTGGCATACAGCCGCTGGCGTACAGTCTCTGCTTCGTCCAGCTGAACTTTGACCTTATCCTCCTGTTCCTTGGCGGCGTTGAACCGAGGAATCAGCTCTTGAAGCTCACTTTCACGTTTCTGGATGGCTTCTTTGACAGATTTGAGATCCGTATCGTGGCGTGCCTTCGACTGCTGCGCGGCAGACTGGCCATCTGCCAGGGCCTTCGCCTGCAATTCCACCTGAGCCAAAGCTCGGGAGGTCTCGCGGCGCTCGTCTTCTAGCTGTGCTTTGTCCACTTTAAGGAACTCGATCTGCTGCTTGCATTCGGCAATTTCCGCGTCAATCTGAGCCATTTCTTTCTCCCCCTGAATAAAATGCTCTCGATTCGTATCTGTGTCCTCGACACCTGTCTGCCTCTGTCCTTCAAGGGCTTCAAGGGCATTTGCAATTTCTGCCTGCTCGCGCGAGTAGATTGTGTACTCGAGACATCTCCTCTCTCGGTCTTGCTCCTGGTAGTTCCGGAGTTCGTCCTTTTCCTCCTCGAGCTCCCGAAGCCGCTCGTTGATGTAATCTAGGAGCTCATCGATTTTGGCTCTCTTGTTGTTGGTTTCGTTCATAATCTTCAGAGACTCCGCGCGGCGTGCCTCATAAACCTGAGTTCCAGCTACTTCCTTCAGCAGCATCAAGCGCTCCGAATCTTTCATATTGGTCAGAGTAGTCACACGGCCCTGAGGCACGATGTAATACGGGTTCGATCGCGAGAAGCCGGCGGACTCTAGCAGGTTCATGACATCGGCCTTGGTCGCATTCTTGTGGTCCAAGGTGTATTCATCCTTCTTGAGTCCTATGGTTCTGCGGAGAACCACCTCTGGCTTTCCCGTGGGGAATCGTTCATCGGAGTTATCGAAGATGATCTCGACGTATGCGGACATTACGGCAGAACCGGAGCCCTCCTGCTCAGTGTCAGTTCTGCCGTCGCTCACAACAAATGGCTTCAGCAACGTACGTGCAGAAGAGCCTGACGCTCTTCCCTTCCCATCTGAGTATAGGCATCGCTGAGAACAAACCGAATGGCAGCGAAGAAGTTACTCTTCCCTGAACCGTTGCGACCGACGATGACATTGTGCTTCGGCGAAAAAGGTTCGATGACCGTCTGGTCCTTGTAGCTGCCATTCAAGAAACACGGTCAGCATCACACATCGCAGCTTGTGCTTAGCAGGAGACTCTACAGTAACGCACCTCTTAAAGCCTTGGATGATGATCTGCTTGATATACATCTTGACAGAGACACGCGCAGCGCGACGGAGGGTCCTTTAGGGCGATTCCAGCATCACTGGATGGCGATCAGACCCAGATCAATTGCAGCACTCCAGGCAGGCTGTCTGAGATCGATTGCGACACTGGAGCACCTGAGAAGAAGACCGGTTGATGCTTTCTTTGCGACCGATTGCTGCTGGTTCGCTGAACGCGTGGACGGGCGTGCTGGTGCTTGCAGTCTCGCTCACGCGTTTTCCGGCCACACCGCCTAGCCGAAAAGGCCAAACCCGTCGCCGCTTTTGCTGCGGGCGCTAGCAGTGCGGGGCTTGCAAGCGGGCACACATGGCCCTCGACGTCA